ACTTCTGGGAAGGCGTCCATGGGTTCGAACCTCTGAAGGGAAAGTGCCTGGAAAAGAAACCCTCGTCAGGGAAGCCACTGGCAACTCCATGAGACATGCGTCTGGTTCCTCAAATACGTGGCAGGTGTGTTTGACACAAAGGCAATCTACGTGTTGTTGGGCGGCACCTTTAGCTCGGGTGCGCCGTCGAGAAACCACTGAGAAACCGTAGATAGCCACAGAACAGATATTGCATGCCAGAATTGTTGGTCGATCTCTAGGTCCTCCAGTAGAGAGGGTAGAATAAGGCCATCCTTTTTTCTGTAGTCCATGTTAGTAGGTAAACCCTCCCCATAAAAAAAGTTTGTCAAAGGGCACCACTGGGTGACCTAGATCGGATTCACAGTTGCTGCTTCGCACTTGTTTCAATCCTTCATGCGGAGCGCGCAATGGGACCAACGAGTTGCGAATTTAAGGTTCGCTAGCTTTGGCCGCCCAATATGCGTTCATCACAGAAAGTTGCTGCACTGACGCGTGTGGTTCTCCGGCATTCCTTCCCATGCAAAAGTGTTGCCCCAGCCAATTGTGGTTGCCATTTTCTTGTGAAAATGATGGAACGTGACCATCACAAAACGGACCTGTCCAGGGCTGTGGGGAATGACCACTTCTGTGATACAACAGAAAGGGCTTCCCAAAGACTGCTTTCGTCAAAGGGGTCCCTTTGTATCACAGAAGTGGGGAGAAAAACCCCTTGATCCCACAACCCTGGACCTGTCCCAAGAATCGTACAAAATGGAGAGAACCACAGAGAAAAGTGCCCCAACCCACGGACCAAATGATTGAAACGGCCTCTGGTTCTTGTTTTGCACTGAGCTAGAGTACCTCACTTCCCGAGTGGGATGGCGCAACACCGGAACCAAACTTGATGTTTTACCACTGAAATTGTCCAAACCCTAGAGACTAAAGTCCATGACCTCAAGAAATGACTTGCCCTCCCCCAGGCTTCCGGCTCAGCCCTTTTCCCATGCCATGGGCACTTGGAGTCCCTTTTGCAAGCTCAAACCCGAAGAAACACCAATACACCAAATGTTGGAGAGCCTGTCCATCAAACCCTAAACCACCAATACACTAAATCTTGGAGGCTCCAATTTGTCATCACCCCCTCCCCCTCCCTCAGCCGGCTCCGACTTTTCGTCGACTTCACGGCTCGCATTTTTTTCCGGATTGCCTGTCCGGAAGTATGCCCAGGACAAGGCCTCGGAAAGGCTACGGCTGCCCCGTCGCCTAATTTTTGTTGGGAAGAAACACGTGGCAGGTCCCATGCAACTTGTGCCCCCAAAAGGCGATTTTTCCTTCTGAGACCAACTAAACCGCTCTTAAAGAAACCCCCTTCTTGAGGGGGTGGTTTCCTTTTCCATTCTTTGCAACCATTGTTGACACAACTGCTTGGTTTTTGAAGGTTTCCCGAAAAGAAGGATGCTTGGAAAGAATGGGAAAGCTTACCCTAGATCCATGCGATCCATGCTTTATGCCACAAACATTATCCTTTCCTGGGGCACTCAAACCTTTAAACGCAATGAACTTCAACCAACGAAACCAGAACTTGACAAAGGCTTCAGGGCAGGCCCACAAAAACCATCGAGTTCCACTTCGAGTTCCGGTTGGATCGATCACATCACTATGGGTCAAAATCCCGTACCGCCAGTGAACATCCCAATCCCCACTAACAATTAGATTAAAATGGGTGGTGCACAAATCCCCCAAAATGGGATCCCAAAACGGCTTTGACCAGCCACATCCCGCCTGGAACCGGGTGAGGTTCAGCTGGTGCTTCACCTGCGCCTCGTGGCAGCTGCCGAGGCAGAGGCCCAGACGTATCGCCACCAGGGCCTCAAACGCGTCGCTCCGAGGCGCGTCAGGGCTAGGCGGGGGTTCGGGGGTTGCTTGGTTGACGTTGGGTTAGGGGAGCAAAAATTATAGCAGATCAGTGGATTTGGATTTCAACCACTAAACCACAATAAGCAAAAATGTAAAATGCAACAACAACCATGGTTGGGCTGGGCTCAGATAAAGATCGCCCCGACGTGATTCATACTGTGGATGGACGAGACCCTGCATCGCTTGGAAAACATGAGAAACCATTTTTGTGTGGTTCTTACAAGGGGATCTATCATTCCAGGGTCTCTTAGGTGGTGCAGGATTTCGTTCATCCACAGTAGGGGGTGTCCCCCTTTTAGTGGGAGACTGAGACTTGTTGGAGGGAACAGCCCCCTAACCCTAGAAAGCCCCCAGGTTGATTCACTGGTGTCTTGTTGTTGGGGCTCAGACTCTTGGAGGGAACGTTCCCCCAAATAGGACAGGTTAAAACAAATAAAGGTAATCTGGGGTCAACATTGAGGGGTTCTGTCTCAAAGGAGAACCCACTTTGACGTTCATGGTTTTTTTGAAACATTTGGTCTTGCTGGTGTCCTTTTGCCCGTTTAAACCGACCGCGTTCAGGGTACCTCAAAAAAGACAGACCCGTTTTTCTCGATTCCTTGAAACCCGAGCCCTCCAAAGTGACGGCCTTCTTGTCTTTGGGTGTCAGGGTGTCAGAGTGTCTGAATGCCTGGCCTAGGACGAATCAAAGAAAAAATGGGCAGCATCTTCATTCTGGATGATCCATGCGGGCAGGCGGGATTCTCGAATGAGATCTTTTACACGCCCGATGTGATCTGGAGCTTGGCGTCACGCTTGTTAGATTCCAGGTTGCCTGGTCCAGTCTCTTCGGCATGCTAGGATCTAATGCAACGCAGCTGATTTTAGAATGCAAGATCGCCCCCCCGCCCCCCTCCCGCCTACTCGTAACAAGCCATTGGTTCAAGGGCTAAATGCCTTCAGCGCGGAAACCAATTCTGACCCTTAAGCATGCGCCTCAGGAAACACGCTTTTCGAGCCGTACTGCGTAAGATGCTGATGATGATAGACACCCCCTTGTATTTCAATACAAGCACACTTGGCGCCCCTCTCCCCTCGTCCCGGCAAGGTAACTCAACAAACATCTCCCTGGAACACATGTGTAGGACCATGCCTTCCGGCCCCTCGCTCTCGTGCATGCCTTCTTGCTGGAACGACATCTCTACTCTTGGTATGGTTGCAATTGGCTTTCCTTTTTTGCAGCCCCCCGCAGTAAAAATGAACAGAGCCCAAAAAACTGATAACAATAATAATAATAATAATAACAATAATAATAATATGACAAACAATCAACATAATAATAATAAAACATGCCAAGAACAGTGAAGCGATGCTAATACCTCGCCCGATCCTTCAGCTTGATGGGGGCGTCTGGAAGCCACCCCGTACCAATTTCTTCCCACTTCTGCGGCTTTGCCACGAAAATCCCCAAAAGAATCACGGCAAGTGGCCCAACCATGCGAGAACTGATCCCGAAGCCCACGATTGTTGCATGTACTGGGGGGATACGCGGGTTCACCTTGTTTGGTGGTTTCAAAGGAAGAAAAGCTGAAGCCATTTTAATGGGTCCAACCTGAAAACAAATGAGCCACCCATGCTTTTATACCGGGGGATGTTGTTGAATGCAGCAACCAGTGGCTCATGGGGCCCGAGCGCATAAGCGGAGCATACGCTGGTCAGGTCCGCATGGCCGATGCACTTGGAGTGGAAAGTGGAAGTTTGGTTCACGGCACCTGGGGGTTGTTGGAAGCCAACCTTTTTTTCCTGGTCTGGGGACTCCAAACGTGATTCTCTGACTCTTCATACCCTCATGGAAAGTGCTTGAGGAGACCCCACTTTGGGGTGCAAGGAGAAATCAAAGGGAGACAATGTTGTACTCCAATGTTGGACACAGCCTGCTGTACCGAAGGATAGTAATCAGTGAGGGCAAGTTGCAGGTCACACTGATTGTATTAACCATGCTAACATGCGAGTGAGTGCTGGCTCATTGTGGAGCGAGTCGTTCGCAGCATGGCTTAACAGGTTGCCTGCGGTGAAACCGTGACTGTCATAGATTCTACGCTTTCACTGTTCCATGTATAAACAGGTTGCACTTTCTGTCATCTTAGTCATCTTTCGCCAAGATTAGGTATTGCGTTGCTTGAGCAAACGCTTCGAAGAGTACAGCGATGACGCTGAGGACATGACTTCCCAACTTGAGATCCCTTTTGCAGTTCAGCTACGTGGATAGCCCTCGATCCCCCGAAAGAAGCAAGCAACATGGTTGAGCCTAGGGCACAAGCCCTGCCGAAAGCAACTCGACAATCCAAATAAATCAGGTTCGAGAACTGAGAATTCCCAGAAAGCTTTCCGAAAGAACACCGGTCGAAGAGATCTGAATGTAGTGAAGGGGCTCCGTGCCCGTCGTGACGTGCTTCGCCCCAAGACTAAGCAGCCATACAATGCACCACGGGGTGACTAGAAGATCTGGCACGCGTGCCAAGCGGCTCAAATTGCTCCAGCTGCGCGGGAGAGTATGGCAGAAGGAAGCAACAAATTATGCGCATTCATGGCCTAAGGCGATTTGTAAGCATTCGCAAACCGGGTCATTTGACATTTGCAAACTGGGAGGCGCCAAAGGTCAAACACATTTAAGGTTATGAAAGAAACCATTCTTCCAGGAGTTGGCAGGTGCAAGAACTCCTAGGCCTACAGCCTAGTCAATGCGAGTGAGCAGTATGCAGCGCTGCCACGCCTCGGTTTTCGGTTTTCCACGTCCAAATCACACTGCAAAAGTAAATGTCAACGGCCCATGTAGCTGTAAAGGTCAGCATCCTCGGTCTACCTTGAAAGCGGCCATGATAGTCCCCGCGATAAAAATTCCGACGGCGAAAAACCGATCCATTCTGTCAAGAGCAACAACTCTAAACTCTAAACCGCGGGCTCCCGGGATCTCCCCAATTAGTTGATTCGTGTGGCGAGCTCGGCCGAACCAAATCTTCCCCCGGAAGGTGTGGGGGGCACGTGCAACAAGGACTTCGGCAACACGACCAGCTGAAAAAACCGAAGCGGTGTAAGTCCCCGGCCTGCTTTCTGGCCCGGCGCTCTTCCCATTCCTGGCTGCTTAGAGAATTGACAATTGGTCCTCCAGTAGAGAGGCTAGAATAAGGGTGCCAGCATTTTTCAGTAGTCTATTTTAGTAGGGGTTCCCTCCCGCAAAAAAGAAACGGTCAAAGGGCACTAGTAGAGATGCCAGGGGCGCGGGCCGAAGAGTGGCGGGCAAATTAATGCGATGTGCACCTCGGTCCAACCTTGCAGAAATTGTCTCAACCGTCCGGGCGTTAAACAAGTCGTAAGTGCAATGAGGCCACAGTCCAAGGGCAAAAAAGGGAAAACATTGTATCATAACATCTCTCCCGGGCGGCTTACTGAACTGTGTCCAGCATGGCAAATGGAAGGAACGTACCCAATAGAATTTGGCTGCGGGGCCGAGCTATGCCGAGCCCCACTCCCCCCCCCAACAGGACCACACACCCCAAACCCGAACAAATGACAAAGGGGTCTAAGTTAAGATGCTTCAGTACACCCAAGCCACCCTCGGAACCCAAAGAGTATATAAAGCTTATGTACACAGGTTTCTCACCAACCCACCAACAAGAGCAAGGAAGAGGTGACAGGTGACCTCCCAATTTACCCACAGAGCGGCTTAATTATAAGAAATACCCCTGCCCATACTTGTTGTTTTTTACAGCCTCCTAATTTACCCACCGAGTGGTATCAATACCCCCCCCCCAAAAAAAAAAAAAAAAAACGGGAGAAAGCCAAAGGCCTGGAAGCGCTCATCGTTGAAGGTGCGGGCGATGGCTGTCTGCTCCTGGCACCTAGGGCTCCTATGAGACCCGCCCAGTGGGCTGTGGTGGTCAAAACCGTTTTGGTTGATCCCAGTTTGGTTGGGATTTGTGCACCATCCATTTTAGAACCTATTCTAGTGCTTGGAGTGGGATGTTCACTGGGGGTACGATTTGGATTTTGACCCATGGCCATTCCAACCCAGACAGTCCAAGTTCCTTCTGGGCTACTTAGGCCCCCTGAAAGCCATTTTGGTGGGAGGTACTTTTGAACCCTCTGAAAGCTCTGAGTAGGCTTCAAAACCAGGGGGGCCCCCCCCCCCCCAATATTTCCTTTTCTGACCCACTTCCATTTGTCCCTGGCTGAGGGGGGGGTTACTTGGAAGGGGCGGGGGGGGGGGAGGTCACGAGGGATTAACCAAGTTTCACGGGGTACTGTGCGCCCCTTCCACACCCATAAAACGAAATTCGAGGAGGGGGAGGAACCGCTACAATTTGCACCTCCCTCGTCTGAAATGGAGCACCGGGCGCCCAAAAAATGGAACACTGAGAGAGGGGGAGGTGGATTTTCCTTGGCGGGATGCAGGAAATACACCTCCCCCCCCCCATGTCCACACCCGATTCCCTCACCCTTTTAAATGGGAAGGAGGGGGGGATGTGTTTTTATCAGTAGAAAATGCTACAATCGAAAGCGGGACTCCACGCCGCACCCCCCCAAGCCGGAACAAAATGGAATGGAAAAAATCCAAAACCTGCCTCAACCCCGCCCCCCCTCATATTCCATTTTTGGAGGGGGTGGGGGGTTCTTCAAACAACCTCTTTTCGGACTCCCCTTTTTACAACCCGAAAGCTCCTCAAGTTACTTGAACCTTTAAATATTGTTCAAACAACTTCCTTTTGGGCCAGAAGGCTTTCAGACACGGAATGCACGTGTTTTGGCCAATGCGGCAGCTCAGCTTCCCCCACGCAAAAACACATCGAGTTTGTTGAATAGCTGCAGATTTTACATGGCTAGCTGGCTGGCTGGATGGCTGGTTGGATGGATGCTTGGTTGGTTCTGCAAATGTTACTTAATAATTCCAACACTGTATTTTCTCAAAGCATGCTTTTTCAAGACAGGTCTCGTGCATGCCTAACGCAGGGTTGCTCCCAAAAGCCGTGCAAGGAGGATAAACAACACCCAGCCATGGGCAGAATTGGTCAGCTCACTACAAGGGTGCCGCAGCTTTCCAAAAAGTGTTGCAGGCATCCCAGTGAGATGAGTCCTGTGGAAAGGGTGCACACATAGAACACACAGCCCAAAGTCCCAAAAGTCAACTCAAGCAATTTGCTGTGGCCGATCTGCTGGATCAGAGCCTCCTTGAGAATCCACATTTTTCTGGCCGAAGCTGCACCCAAACCAATCGGCCTGGCGTTTTCGTTATGACATCTCGCCAGGCAACCGGCGGATGGGGCGCCAAAGGCTGTAAACCATCAGAAGTTCCGTCGGCCACGAGCAAAACGCACAATATCCACGGTGCCGACCGCCGCAATCCATCGCAAACCGATCCCAATCTGCGATGGAATCGAGCACTGCTCAGGTACTAAGGTCCCCGACATCATGGGATCCAGGGGCGGCTCCATCACCCGAGCCTTTCTTGGTGCGAACGGGAGAAAAACATGTCGCCAAAGTGCGGCCAGGTTGAGGGAAAACTTGGTTCAAACAAGGCTTAAGCAGAGGCTCACCCGCAAGTGAGAGATCGCAAACTGTGAGCCCACTGGCAAAGGCGTCGCCGCTAGAAATGCTGTTGTTGCCACTCGTGCCAGGGATAAATATTTTCCCTACATGGAAGGTCAACTGATATGGCTCTGTGCCCAGGGCTGGAGATATTTATGATTCATTGAGGCCGAAGAACCATGATTTGTGAGCCTTGAAACCGAGCACTGGTAGAAACTTGACAGTTCCTCTGTGGAAAGGGGTTGCGTGTTTCACAATTTGGAATGTCAACACGAAAGAAAATAGCATTGGCAAACGTATTGGCAATGCAGCCTTGGAAAAGTATGTCCTATGTTGCTGTACTTGCGTTTATTTTTTCAGGTGTGACGGCTCCAAGAGGGAAGGCTATAATGCCCCAACAACGTGTGGCCCCTTTCGAGCTGCGGCTTGCAATCTGTCAGATGGCTCCGAATCTATCGATGGCTTCAGGTGTTTCAATTGGGTCCCATTGATTCCTTGGCAACATCCCATTTGCTCACTATTGCTTGTTGTCAGTCCCATCCCTGATAGACATCCGGCTCCACCACCAACAGAAAGCAGTCGGAGGATACTTGGCTTGAGATTGGACCACGGCTAGAAAACGGCAAAGAAGGCAAGCTGGATTTGGAGTTGGCAGAGGGTGCAAAACCACTGAATCAAGGCAAGATTGGCTGCCTGAAGCAAAAGGGCACCGTCTGGTGATTCGCACGTGGAAATTGGCATCCAAAGCTTTAGATGACCGAGCCCGTCATTCTAGGGTTTGATTCCTTTTTCCATTCTTTTCAAGCATCGTTCTAAACACCGGCCGTTTTCCCTGGGTTTCCGGAGGTTTTCTAGAAAGAAGGATCCCTGGAAAGAATGGGGAAGGTACCCCTAGAGTCTTACCCGTCTTGCATGCTTGCAAGTGCAGCCCCTGCAAGCACTGCCTTGCCAAATAACACTCGCCTTGGCAACCAGCGATCGGCATTCTGTCGCAAGAAAGGCGGCTTTTCACCCCCTTCCCCGTCCCCCCCCTTCCCCCCGGGCAACCCGCTCGCCTCTGCTCGCGCCAGTAGGTGCTTCGGCCAGGGAATGGGCGGCTTGGGCTGACCTAATCTCCGCCAACCGCGGGCGAGGGGTGACTGGCCCCCAGGCAGGAGATCACGACTGCGGATGGACGCACGCGAACTCCTCGCTCCGCGAAATCCACCGCAAGGATTCGAACGGAAGGCGTCGAATTTTCCCGGTAAATAATTGCCCATGAGTCCCCATGGCTTCAACCATGGTCTCCAAGTGCTGCGAAATGGAGTTCGTCCATCCACAGTATGGGCTCACTATTTCTAACGTGTTATTTTGCTTCTGTGCCATACTGGTAAAAAAAAAACGCCACACATCATGAATGCCTCATACACCTGACTGCCTGGAATTGATCCTTCATACTTCGGCTACTCCAAAATGTGAAATTGGATTGAAGGAGACCCCACAAGACTCAGAAGCAGGCACCCTACTTGGAATTTGCTTCCCACGGGTGCACCCTACTTAGCTTGGTGCCCATGATGGAAATCACGCCGCACTTCCGCCCGAGAATATAGCTCGGTTGATTCCTTTTCCATTCTTTTCAGGCCCATCGTTCTTTTCTCAAAAGCCGATCGCCATTTCCCCAGAACCTTTTGGTGGTTTTCTAGAAAGAAGGATCCCGGGAAAGAATGGGGAAGTTACCCCTAGAATAGCCGAAAGAAGAGCACCGCACCCCCCACTTCAACTTTCAACTTCGCTATGCGGGGGTCAATCCTTCAGATTGACCAAAAGTGGCGCATGGCGGCAAAGAAAAGACCCTCATCAGCAGTGTTGCCAGTGGCCTAAAGTGGCAGGTCGGATTCTAACCCGTTCGCTTCAGCCTCAGGGGACTAAAATGAGTCCAGAAATCAACACGATGCGCGCACCCACCTCAGAACGCTTGCCACGTCTTGATCTACATGCCGCCTTTGCCAAGGCTTCGCACGGCAGGCGTCAAAGAGGGCAGCACACAATTTGGTAGCTTTCCCTCAGTTGTTCAGTGACCCTAAAAGCAAAGGAGAAAAAAAAAAAAAGTGCCACTGAACAACTGAGTTCCTTGTATCAGCTTCCAAGTACTTGGTGGTTTCGATGTGCCTTAGTGGTCAGGGGTCAATTCCCCCTCTACCCAAGCCGGATCGACTCCCCAAGCCACCAATCCAAGCCAACTAGCAATTACCTGACCGTTTCAATCCACGCTTCCATTTGCTTAAGTCCCCTGCGAAAAAATAAAATACAAAAGAATCCAGTAGTGATAGATTCCCTCCAGAACCAACAGAGGAACATACAATATCCTAAACCAAATGGAAGCACGGTTTAGAAGAAAAAAAAAACAACACCACAACAAACAAACACACACACACACACACAAACAAACAAAAACAACAACAAAGAAACAACAATAACCAAAAAATACAGGGCTCCAACACGCCCGGCTTCAGGCTCCGACCTATGAGCTGCACTAAGGAGGTCTCCATTGCGCGACATGCGCCGTAGAAAGCTCGCCAAGTCTCGTCGAGAAAACGGACGCGATTTCCCAGGCGAATCCGAGCTCCGCTTGGTTTTTCCGTTAGAGCCGGCAAAGGTGCCCCCTCCCAAAAAAGCAAAGAAACTCCCCAGGAAAATATCTTGGTGTCTCTGTCAACCTTTCAGGGGACAACATATTTGAACCACGGACTTCATAACGTGTTGGTGCTTCAGCGAGCTGCTGCCGGAGTTGTTGCATGGTCTCTTGCTCTGTCCGGTCTTCGAAAGTTGCCCCTCCTAGCATGGAGTGCATCGAGTTGGGTGGATTGAGTCAGGTCTCTGATCTGCCGAGTCCGTGATCAAACCTGTGAGCCGATGACGGGCAACCCCCGACACCAGTGCAACCGAGGGCCCTGTCCGGCAAACCTGTTAAACTTGCCAGGTTTCGTGCGTCATCCGATTTCTTAAGCAACGGTCCTTGTCTTGGAACTACGGCAATGTCAACATAACTAGGTCCTCCACTAGAGAGGTTAGAATAAGGGTACCATTCCTTCTGTAGTCTATTTTAGTAGGGGAACCCTCCCCCAAAAAAAAGGGTAGAAGGGCACTACTGGGAGGCCTAGATAATACATGATTCGTCTAAACTTCGAAACGCAGGGAGTCCATGACCTTCACACCCACAAACAAAAATCCGCTCATGACAGCCTCGGCGCAGCCTTGCAAAGGAGACCTCTGCGTCCAAGCGGCCGAGCAATGCACGACATAGCACGACATAGCACGACAGCGGCAGCGGCAGCGGCAGCCAGCAACGATTGATTCCATGTCTTCACAGCCAGCTTTTTTGCCGCCAATTATATCTTCACAAAACTGCGATGCATTCTTGAGGCCGAGTGCCAGTGATCCAAGCGCTTGCCATAGGCATTGTGAACACTGACCCCAAAGCTTCTAGATTCTTGCATTTCTGGAAGGCTGGGCAGTGACTTCCTCCATATTATCCAAGTACCTTTTAGCGCTGTCTGCCACAACTGCGGGGGAAAAAAACGCAATTCATTCAAGCACTGCTTCCACTTTGCCCAGGCTGAGCGCTAAGGTCCATGCACTTCCACGTAGGGCTAGCCGTACCCTCTCCATTCTGCTCAGGGATCCCTCTACGCCTTCAACACACCATCAAAACACGTGGTTTCTGAATCAGTAACCAACCTTCCGATCCACACCATGGCCAGTTGGCCTAACAGGCACTACTTTGTACCTTCACCCAGTTCAACAGCCAGCGTAAGCTACCCAGAAGGACGAACATCTAAACCACGTGGTAGATGTGTCTGCGTGGTTCCGTGCTGCTTGAAATCAACTTTTCCGCAGTCTTTTCACGTTCTGCCGGATGGGTCCGCTAAAGGACATCAGACCTTGAATCAGAACCGTACCCCGGAGAACATCATTGGCTTGCAAGAAAATGAAGGCGAGGGCAAAAGCGAAGCAGCGCTCTCGTCTCACCCGATGCGCTGCTTCTTATTGGGTGATACCTGGCACGGGCGATCGGGCATCTGGAGCGCCAGGGCTACCAGCTTCAAATCCAAAAGGCGATGAGCGTGCAAGCTGTGGGTGAGAAAGTGTTCTGCTAAAAGCTAGTTGTCTAAGCGAGAAAAAACGGACTCCTAACATCTACCTTCAGACTTGCGGGACCGCTCCAAACCACGCACAACAGGGTTTTGCTTCTCCGTTTTTGAGGCAAGGCAACATCAACGCCAGTTAAAGTGCAAGGTCAACAACGTGCCTATCTGCATGGGAGGCATCCTGTCGCGCGCGGGCGGCACGACAAGTACCATATGTCAATTCTTACAGGTAAGGTGTTAGAACTTTACCTTCGAAACATTGTTTTTATGGTCAACCAATTTTGATTCCAACGCCGGATGCTCCGGGAGGTGCCCTTTTGCAGCAACGTATCTCCCATTTCATGAAAACCAAGAGGAGGCCAGGCAAAAAGCCATTTCCAGCCCAGGCGTGGGATGCTTTTGAGAATCCGGAGCAGTGGGCTTGCCGGTACATGCGGTGGCAATTGGTTTGACTGCGATTCTTGGGAGCGTGTCTTTTTCAAAGGCCGCCCTTCTTTTGGTGGTTTTAGAAGTCATCTTTTAGGGGCTCCCCCCCCAAAAAAGAGGCGCCCATGCGTGACAGGATCTTCAACTCGCTTCTTTTAAGCGGCGAACTCCTCTTTAGCTTGTGGCAAAGCTCCAGTCCTGGACTCGCCTTAATTTACAGATCGAAAATAGAGGGACCCCCTAGAATTCAGGCATCCCGTTGGACGAAATCCAGTTCGCACCACTCTGAAACCATGGAAAACATTTTTTGTTGGCATGTACAGGGGAATCATCCTTCCAGGGTTTCCTAGGTGGTGCGAAATGGATTTTGTCTATCCACAGTAAGGGATGTTAGGTTTCTTGGGGGTGGGTAGTTGAGCCAGGGATCTGTAGGGAACCCCTTCGACCCCCCCCCCGACATATATATATATATATATATTCCCCAACAAAAGCGGGGAAATGCATGCCAAGAAAGCTATGGTTTTCCCTGAGGTGTTAGAATGCCAGCCCTCCGCCCACGACGCAAACCCGCCTCCATGGTGATGAAGTTGTTGGGATCTTCGCCGGTCGATTGAGCCTGGCCCGCCGCGCAGGCGCGGAGTCGTGAAGTCTTGGCGATTTGACACCCAGAAAGCTCTACCCGTACCTTCTCCACGCTCTTCACTGGGCTGCCCTCAGATCCCCCGCTAAAAGTTTAAGTTTTAGTGGGTTAAATGGAATCTACCACTAAACACTAAAAAAGCTAAAAGGCTCAGGAACCGGATGGCTGGCAGCCAGCAAGTTCAGGGATCCTTCTCTTCAAGCAAGTGTCCAATCCCCGGAAAAATGGGTTTCCAAAGGGAATGATGTGTGAAGAGCGTGGGAAATTAACCTTGCAAAAGTCCTTCAGCCTGGGTGAGCTCGGTTTGTTTCCCTCAACTGGTGAGTTCGCCCATGGTTTGGCCCTGAACACTTCATCCCATGAACATAGCAGTGGAGAGACCACCTGAAGATCAATGTCCTGGAGTGGACCGGGCTGTGCTGGGTGCGGGTCGGCAGATGCCCAGCGGATTTCGATTGGAAACGAAAGGGGCGTCCTTGTTTTAGTTGATGTTCAAGGGGAACCCTTCGCCAAAACCCTTTTGGCTTAAGCAAAACCAATTTGGCATCCTTTTGTGTTTGGTTGAGTTTCAAGTGGACGGACCCCTTCCTCCACAAGATTCTTGTTGACCAAAAATCGGGCCCCCCCACCCGCCCGGCAGGCGCAGCCTGCACGGCGCCCTCCAGAAGTTTCACCGAGGCCCGGAGCGGCATCTTGGAGAGAGCCTGCAGCGTCTCATCCTGGCCGAGGGACTGCCTCGCTCGACTCACTGGACGGGACCCGCTGGCTCTTTCACAGGGCTCCCGAGTTGCTTCTTTCCCCTGAAGACATCACCCCCACAAAACACTCACCTGACAAATGGGCAAGAAAGGCGATGTGTAAAATCGCCAAAATGGGAAATATAGGGACCCCTGTTTCACGCCCCTGGTTTTGGGGAATTTCTTGGATCCTGGACCCAACTCGGATACCCTTTGGAATCCAACCAAATAGCCATAAAGAAGGTTCTTCTTTGGACTCTTTCTGGGGGGTCCTTAAGCTTCCAGGTAGAAAACCTGCTCGAGACATCAGCCATCAAATAACCAGGCATTGGGTGCGAGCTTACTCCTGGGGTCTGCCTGACAAAGTCGGACCAGCCAGAAGCAAACGAGAAAACGCCTCTTTTTCCACCCGGAAGCTGTCAAAACAGTCTTGGAGCGTTGTTTTCATGTGAGTTCGGCATGGCAGGCAGAGCCCCCGCGTTGCAGCCGGGGAAATTACACATGACACTTCCAGGCAAGGCCTATTCGGCGGAGTCCTTAGTGTTCGGCTGTTCAGCTCTCTTGCCAAGCAGGTTCCGTTGTCCAGCCCAAGCGCCAAATGCTTGTTGCTCAGCACACGGGCTTTTCTCCAGGCGTCCCTTTGCTTCGACTTCAAAAACTCAAACAAAACAAACAAGTTGCCAAGTCAGGGTCTGATCTCCTCAAAGTTGAAGTGAACAAAAGGTGGCTTTGGCATCTTTGGCCCCCAAAGGCGCTTCCCGGATTGGTCCAGCAGTTTTAAGAAGGAAGCTGAGCAACTCTCATGCCACCGAACCTGCACCCCAGCCCACACTGCTCCTCGAGGTATAGCCCCAGCTGCTGGGCCCTTTGCCTCCAATTGCTGATCAATTGCCCCAACCCCAAAACTCTGTGCTTCCTGCTTGGTGTCCCGTTAAACTCACACCAAAAGGGATAATCCGGATACCCTCAAAAAAGACACACCCATATGACTCTGCCCAGCGGTTCGCAGCGGACAAGGGTTAGCGGCTCGGGGCGTCGCTTGCCAGTTCTCGGTCACATTCCTTGTTTCAACACCGGGTGCGAGATGGCGCGGGGGCATTTGTCCAGCCTACGAATCCAACCAACCACCCCTCATGGCACATTCATGGCCAGAAGGTCCAGAAGAGAGAGAAGCAGCGCAAGGAAGCTGCATCAGAAGCGCAGCACTCTAAGAAGCGAAAACTTCAGTGTCACCAGAAAGAAAGTGACCATGGATTGATGTCCACCAGGCCGGTGCTCCAAGCATAAACAAATGGCGCCTGGTCTGATTGCCCGTGAAGTTCATGCCGCCGCCGCTGCTACCTGTCCAGGCTCTGTAACTGGGCCGCGGGCCTACTCCCATGGCATCTTTTTGGGCTCTGCATCTGTATCTGTGGCGCTGCATACGTGTGCGTGAGTGTGCACGGAAGTGTGTCTATGCTACTGCAACTCACACATAGACATACATATGTCCATGTACGTGTATGGATGCATATCCAAGGGGAAGGAATAACGACTTGTCTTCCAGGTTTGCTCTGCCAGGGGCCAAGACGTGAAGAAGTGTGCTGCTTTCTCTTCAACAATTTCTTCCTGAAGCAGGGCTGTGGGAAATGAACAAAAAGCGCCTAACCCGAAGAAGAACGTGACTAACCCCCCCTCATATACAGGGGGATGATTTCCCAAACGTATCACAGTGGTTGGATAAACCCCGAAAAGAAAAAAATCAGAACCGTCCTAAGGCCGATCTGCCCTCCGGCCCCGCCGCCATCCCTCATGATCTTCGCCACGGCTGCCTGGCAAACGCCCGGATGCGAACGGCAAATGTCTTGACGCTCCTTGGCTGCTAGCCAACCAGGTAGCGATCAATGCTTCCATTTGCTGAAGTCCCCCCTGAAAAGGAAACTGACAATAATTCCAGTAGTGACAGATTCCCTCTAACAACCAACTGGGACAATAACACAGATTCCTAAGCAAATGGAAGACTTTAAGTAATCCACATCACCAACAGAAGCTACGGGTGAGCTTGCTTGAAAAGGACCTCCAGCACGGGTGAGCTTGATCTCCTCCCCTGTTGAGCATGTTTTAACTAGTGCAGATCGTTTGTTTGGCTTGTTCCTAATTGTAGATCCCGCTGTTGGGCAGTTGCTCAAAAGCGGGAACGGCGTCATGGAACGAGGGCTGCCAGACTCGCGTCGCAGAGTCATTACGCACCGGCATGCCAAGATCAGCTGCCAATAGCTTGATGAATTGGCACCCTTGGGTCAGCAATTTCACGGTGGTAAATCTCTTCCCAACTTAAGCAAAAGAAGCCACTCCACAAACACCCCTAGCCCACCCTAAACCAAGCCAAAAAAAACACTAAACAAGCCTACGCACATGCCATGGGGGGGCACGGCATAAAAACCCGCGCAAGCCAGCGAACCCGCCTGCAAGTAATCATTTGGATTCCGGATCACCTCAGAAGCTGAGCAATCGGCCGCGCACGCAAGAGATTCAGAAAGTCCAAGCCGCTCAACCTGTCCATGCACCTGTTACTTTCATGAGTTTTCCTAAACCGGCCAGCCCGCAAGGCACCTTTCAGCTACATTTAGCTTTCCTAAACCTCCCCTACCCCCAATACTGAACCACACACAAGAGAACTTAAGCCAAACCCCTCCAACCAACAAATGTCCCGCCAGCCGTATCATACCTGATCTCTAGTTTAGTCAGTTGCTACCCGAAAACAACTAAAACAGCTACGACGTTCAATTGCAATGTATGCTGCATCGTTCGATCTCGAATATGCTCAAACATGCATCAACTGATCCTTTCCACATTCATTGCGTGGTAGCTGATGTGTGTTGACGTTTTTTCCCCCTCTCGCAAGGAGAACCCCAGATCCAATTGATGGCGTCTCCCCAAAAACATTCATCGTTAGAAAGAGGGGGGGGGCGGGCGCATTTGAAATATCAGGAGGCGGGGGACGGATCCTACAACCTGCCACCCCTGCATGTAGCGTGCCAAGGCAAAATAGGTATGTGACCTACAGATGTTCGCCAGTGGGCTTGGTAGCCAAACAGAACTAACGCCACTGAATTGGCATGGGTGACCATCTCCAACCACCAAGCTACGTCTTCCAAAACAGGCTTCTACATCTTTGTGCGGGGAGGCAGAAAAATGAGTAGACGGATTCAGGCAAAACCGAAAAAGAACGCTCCAATACAAGCATGTGACAACTTGCTTGCCAATAAGGTACCCTTGTGTCCACGTACCAAAGGATCCCTGTTAAGGGAAACTCGTCCTCCAGGCCCCTCAGTCTTAAAAACGGACACCCTAACAGCCAACAGCAGGCGTTGCTTTTCTCAAGAAGCCAACAGCGGGGAAAAAAGCGAGATCCTTAAAAACAAAGAAGATTCAACAGCAGCAAAGGGGTGCCGTGGAACTACCCCTCCCCTTCTCTTTTTCCAAGGTACCCCTTTGCCGCTGCCCTTGCTGAAGAGGCTGCCCAGTATGTCCATGGCCTGCTCCTCGAGGCCGACTTGGTACCCTTACTCCCACTAACATGGCCACCTGAGGGCGGGTACCTGGAAGATCAGTTTCCTCTTGGAGGGACACCCTGGGTGCCATGTTGGTGGGAGGGAGGGTACCCTTCTTTGGAGTTCGGGGTTGGTTTAAACTGGATCTTCACCAATTCTGGTTGATAAACCACCCACTGGCCCACTGGTGCCTCTGGCTTTGTGGACAAAACTTGCTGGTGCTCCGCAGGGAATGAGGGAATGACCCCTATAAACCATTCCTTGCGGTTTCCTGTAAGGGGACCCCTGGGTTTGTTTCAAAGCGGAGCACCAGCAAGCAAAAGGAAACCAAATTTTAGGATTCGGAACCCACAAAAAAATGCGCCACGGCTTTCAACTTCTGGCTTCCCTTGAAACCAATTCCAAAACGGGAGTACCCTCCGACCAATTTCCAACGAACCTGATCTTCGGGGGGTCCTGCAAAATACATTTTTCTGATTGAAGGTACCATTTCCCGAACGTCCGGCTCCATGTTCATTCGTGCGCGGGGTACCCTCACGAGGGCTTCCCAAAGACTAATTGTTCATAGGAGCCCCTTGTATCACAGAAGTGGGGATAACTTGGCTGACGTTGGAAGAGGAGCAAAAATCCAAATTTTAGCAGTTCAGTGGTTGGATTTCAACCACTAAACCACAATAAGCAACAAATGCGAAAGGCTTCCCAACAACAACCCTGAGAAACCCCTTGAGAGATCCCAACAACCCTGCTCCAGAACCCGCCCATCCCACCCCTGATAAACCCCTTGATCCCACAACCCTGCTCAAGACAAATCCATCCCACCTCCCCCACTCCACCCCAAAGAAAACCCCATCCCCGGCTCAAGAACCCCCACCTCCCCACCCCAAAGATCTCGATCTCATCGATCGAAGTCCTCCGGCACGCATCGCAGCGCCAGCAGCGAGTTGGCATCCAGGCGCTGGCCTTGCCACAGATCCTGGCGAGGGACGCTACCTTTTGACCCCAAGATAGACTTAAACCCAGGGGTTCTTGTAGGGGAATCAACCCCTGGGTTTAACCTTTTTTGGGGGTAGTCGAAAGGTAGAACCCTGCTGGCGAGTGACACTTGCAGAAATCACGCGGCTATTGTAAATGGACGAAATCCTGCACCGCGCTCGAACCATGGAAACCATTGTTTGTTGGCATGTACAGGAGAATCATCCTTCCAGGGTTTCCTAGGTGGTGCAGGATTTTGTCCATCCACACTAGGTCTTCCATTTGATCTCTTTTTGGGGCTCTGGGCTTTTGCTTTGCTCATATCAGATGTTGAGCGAGAAAAAACAAAATCCTACTGTGCATGGAGGAAATCCGGTTAGGTACCACCTAGGAAACCCTGGTTTCTCATGATTCCCGTGTAAATACCAACGAACAATGGTTTCAACCATGGTTTCAACCATGGTTTCAACCATGGTTTCAACCATGGTTTCAATTTTGGTGCAGGATTTCGTCCTTCCACAGTAGGTCTTCCGTTTGATCCTCTGGGCATTTGTGTTGCTCATATCAGATGCTGAGCGGGAAAAAAAACAAAACACAAATGAGCGGAAACCTAGATCTCTGGCGCAAAAAATTGCAGAAAGGGATGTTGTGAGCCAGCTGCATTCAAAACCCGTTCCATTCCCGAAAAGCCTTAGCTTTGTATGGAAAAAATCCAACTGTACCTGGTTCCTGTTCAGAGGGTGATGCATTCTCCCGTCGCAACATCGTTTAAGCCCCACCCCTCCCAGCACCTCATGTGCTTCATTCTTTGGCTACAACCGGCGGTTCTTTGATGACAAGGGGGCAAACCATGTCCTTTTCTTGGCCTAGCTCCGTTTTTTCTTCGGAGCATGCACTGATGGAAATGGACTGGCCCTCTTGCGGCTGGCCTATGGAAATGCAAGAATTCTGGGAAGTCTGGAAGATTCAAAAGCCGAAACGTGCTGAACTACAATCCGTTCCTGCTCGCGCAGTCAGCCAGCAGCAAAGAGGTACCCGTGATAGGTGCTCACCAAAGTGGATCTTCCACATGGCAACTTGAATTTACCCATGCGACGAGTAAGGACGTCCATGCCAGTTGCCACAACTTCTATAGTTTGGTGGCTGGCTATTCCCGAACACCTACGGCAAACACCAACAAACATGGGACTCATCCAATAACCGTAGGAAACTAGGTTTAAGCCCTTGCAAAACAAACATGAAGAAAAAGAAGAACACACAAAAACAACAACAAAAACGCCTGCGACTCTTGCACTGGGGGGGAAGCCCCCCACCCCATTCCAAGCCCCGAGGGGCCTTCTGGTTCAGGTCCAAGATGGCCATCTCCACGGTGCTCGCATCCGGTGGAACCTGGCGCACCACGCACGCCACGAAGGAACTTGGATCCTTGGGTGTGGCTCCCGAACATACTGTGGATGGACGAAATCCTGCACCACTTCGAAACCATGGGAAACCCATTGTTCGTTGGTATTTACAGGGGAATCATCATTCCATGGTTTCCTCCGCGGTGCAGGATTCCGTCCATCCACAGTATGCACCGCAAATAGGACGCCGATTGCTCCAGATTCTCAAACACATCCCACGCCTGTCTCCTCTCGGTTTCCTTCAAATGGAGAGATACTGTGGATGGACCAAATCCTCTTAGGTACCACCTGGGAAACGCTGGATTCGGATGGTTCCCAAGAATCCATCAATTGCAAAATCTGTGGTTTACTCCTTGAAAAGATATCCAAACGAACAATTTCATTCTTTTCGAACCCCTGGTAACTCGACTTGCCTGGTAACCTGCACCAAAATTGAAACCATGGAAACCATAACGTTTGTTGGCATTTGCAGCTTTGTCCATCTTGGACACCCAATTTTGAGCCACTCCTTGATCAAGGTCCTGGTCCATTCTGGTTCCGTTTGAGGCAAAAATCCATCTGTGCTTACCCCAATTAGTCAGACCAAGAAGGCAACCAATGAAGACTCTGGAACTCAAGTGTCAGATCCAGTGCCGTTAGCCAGAGGCCGCTCCGGAAAAGGGGATAAACATTCATGTAACTCCTGGCCCGCGCGCTTCTTTTCGCTTGCAAGCTGATCCCCTTCAGCTTGCGGCATGCACCTCAGAGACGCCATGACCGAGTCAATCTGAGCGCGCCTGACCTTCCCCCCTATACCCGATACCCTCTTTTTTCAGGGTACGATGCCGACGCTCTACTAAGAATGGAAGTATTTACCCTGAAAACGCAGGCTTTCCCAAAAATACCCTGAAAAAAGCGGGTGCTTTGAGTAGGGGGTAGAATGCCTCACCCAGTTTGATACTCGCGCCGAACCCAACGGGTCGATTGAAAATCAAATCCCAAGCTTGTCGCTAGGTGAACAGTTGCGATGCGGCAAGCATCCGCTAGCAGGACTGTTTGTCGGGCAGCAAACGCCCGTTGCCAAGCGACAAGTGTCAAAAGGGAGCTTCAAACATGAGTGGTGTTCCTTTTGGTTTCCCATGCAAACCACCCCAAGCAGGATACCGTCAGAGGAAACTCGACCAGGGGAGTGACCATGAGTGGCCCACCAAACTGGAAAAGGGTGAAGTTGACCAAACAGAAACTCAAAAATGGATGGCAGAACTTCACTCCAGGATCCATCCCCGGCCGTCTCCCAGTCACCCTTGGCTTCCACCGCTCCTACTCATTCCCATGATTCGCAAGACGAGCATTTCTTCCGCCTTCCGCTCCGGAACTGTGGTTGGCCTTTGCCAACCAACCACACATGCCAAAGCTCCGCAGCCCCGAGGTGGCGATTGCACAACTCAGCCGCGCGGCCGCGCTTTTTGCTTCCGGACAAGACTTGCTGGCTCAGCAGGGGATGAGTTGGAATGACCCCTACCTCCTCTGGTTTCCTTTTAAGGGAACCAACACCCGGACCCGTGATCATTCCCTACCCATCGCACCCGGACTTGGCAAATGTACCGGTGCCCAACGTGATCACCGGCCCAGGTCCCGCAGCCACTCCACGTCCTCCATGTGCTGGAGATGTGGGCGGAGCCCGGCCTTTGCCGATGCGGATGACAGATGGGCACCGAAACGGACGCAAATCCAGGGGTTGCTTCCAATTCCATTCTTTCCAGGGATCCTTCCTTCCAGAAAACCACCAGAAACCCAGGGAAAACGGATCCGGTTTTTGAAAAGAACGATGGTTGAACAGCATGGACAAGGAATCAACCCCTACGGAACAAAAGAACAGATCCGAAGGAATGCATTACACAGGGACGGATCGACTTGATTGTCTCACAAGCGGCGGGCCAAGTGCCCTTTCAGACTGGAAATCGCAATGCGACTAGACTACATGTATGTCCTTCCCACAAAAAGGAAAATGGAACAACAAATGGAATTCCAGGGGGATCCCCCCCTCCCAATTCCATTTTTAAGGAGTGGGGATTGGACTCCTTCGGGCCTACAACTTCTCAAGCTGATCATGCTGATCGAGATATTTGTTTCTGCGGCCTTGCTTCAAACAGGCAACGCGCAGTGATTTGCAAAAAAACTCGGCGATTGAACATGAGTTTGCAGTGTCTTGGGGGGAGGGGGGGGGGGGGCGGAACCAGCAGAATATTACGGAAGTATTGAAGGGGCCTGTGCCATCAAGCTGGCCTTCCTGGAATCATGTCTTTCATCACCTCGCTGGGTAGTCGCTTGTGGGCCTGATTGTCAAACACAGATCCGACCCATGGCTGCCTATTCTCAATTCCTGAGTGGGTTGGCCGAAAAAGCTTCAACCTTGTTGTTTACCACTACAATGATCTTCCCAACAAGTATAAAGTCCATGAACTCAGGAAGTAAGAATAAACAAAGGGGAAACACATCTCCGCCACCATCAGGGGGAGCGGGGGTCGGGGGTCCCCATTCAATTTGTCCAGTGAGCAGTCTTCCCCAAAAACGGGAAAATGGAACCATCAATGGAATTTTAGGGGTGTCACCCCCCTCCCCCACTTTCATGTTTAAGGGGGTGGGGATGAAAAGAACGAATGCTGGGCTACTTACTCAGTGCCCAATGCCCGTTCCTCTCAGTGAGGACTCCCTTCCCCACAGGGCGATTGATTCCCATGCAACGGAGGAATCAAAACTGGGCTGCCCTCAGATCCCCCACTAAAAGTTTAACTTCTAGTGAGTTAAATGGAAACTACCACCAAACACTAAAAAGCTAAAAGGCCAATAAGGAACCTGATGGCTGGGAGCCAAAATAACAGGAGGAGGTCCCTTGAAGAGGAAACTGATCTTCCGGGTACCCTTTCTTCTGTAGTCTATTTTAGTTGGGGGCCCTCCCCACAAAAAGAAACCGTAAAAGGGCGCTACTGGGGGACCTAGTTTACTACAATGTCCCGACAGACCGCTGGGTAGCGAGCAAAAAAGCCAACAGATCCAGGCAGCTTTCGCCAGCGAGGCCTTCATGTACCGCGCGAACTCGTCCCACTGCTGCGGTGTCACGTGGCCGTCGATGCTGCCTGGACTGGTTTAAGAAACGTTGACTTTTTAAGAAACCAACCACGGGAAAATCTAGAGGAAACCCCTGAGTTTTGTGGGTACAGGGATCCTTACATTATCCACCTGAACATTGCCTTGTCAATGGTGGTCTCCCTTTATTTTGGTGTTGAAAAAGCAAGGTCTCAAATGGGCAACATGTATCTTTTAAGGAGCCCTGTATTTTTGTGGGTATTTGGAGCTAACTTCCTGTAGAACTTCCTGTGGCTGGTTTCTATGACTTGACGCCGGCTGAAGGCCCAGAAGGAGCGAACGTGTTCACTTCCATCGATTGCCTTCGGAGCCGCGACTCAAACCTTACCAGTACAACTGGAAACAAGGCGGAAAGACAAAGGGCAGGACGCATTACGCATTTCTGCGCGAATTGGTATTCAATACACCGGCAGAATCGAGAACCCACTAGTACAAGGACCTTGGGTCATTGTATCTGGGCTGTTCAACATTGTTTGGGTTGGCCAATCCGATTCTCCATACTTGATCGCCATAGGCAAGCCATCACGAAGACGACCGGCTCTTTGCGCAACCCAAGGATCTTGCGGATTCAGCCCTCACATTTTACCCCCCGCATCCGACCGCTGCGGCCCAGCTCCGGCCCGCGAAACGGGGCGGCCATTTCGCGCGCTTCGGCCGAGGCGCGCCATCGCATCTCGTCCGCCTGCCAGGCCAGGTGGGCGAAGCTCTCCGGGAGCTGGGCGTGGTGGGCGTGGTGGGCGCCCAGGCCGCGCCGGCGGGAGATGGACATCCAATCCAAGACCTTGGAGGGCAGTGGGGGTGGGGGATGGGAGAGGGTGGAAGCAGCTGGAGGCGGGGAGGGGGTGGTCACTAAGGGAATCTGGGGCGAAGAGGGTAGGCTTGGGTCTGGTTGCGAGGGAATGAGTTGAAGCGCTGGAAATCGTTACTTTGCCTCGCAGGCACGCCACAGGGCCCGAAATCCAGCAGCTCCACCACCCTGGTCTCCCAGTCCTAGTGGGCAAAAGCGCCAACTGGTCACGCGTTGCGAACGCTGGGCTGACTGTCCTGTTCCGCCGTATCAGTCAGCCACGCCGGAAAGTCAACAAAGATGAACCAGGTAGGACCCTTTGGGGGACATCGTCTAGATGAGGGTCCATGTCCACCAACCACCTTGGAGGGGGTTCTCCATTAAAATTCATAGCCATACAAAACTCCCCAAGGTCGAATTCGAATACCCTCGAAACATCTCGAAACTCCACTCAACCTGAGGCCTGGGTGCTCATACGCAACTCAGAGGTACAAGCAAGAAGCCCTGGCTACCAACAGATGCAGGCTGGACAAAATTGATCCTACCCCTTAAAACTCCAAGCCCTTAATCTTTTACAGACATATAGCCCATGTTACCCCCCAAAAAGTTGAAAAGTTGTGTTTCTAAGAGGTAAGGATCCCCAGTTCAGGGACAACATGGGCTTCAGGATGATTTCAAATCGCTGACTCGGCTTTCTCACGCATCGATCAACCCTGGATTGCCCCACGCAAGCTGCGACTCAGCAAGTACTACATGAACCAAACTCAGCGACTCAGCTTCCTGACTAATTGGTGGTTTTTGATTTGGTGGTTTGGTCCTTTCTGGCGGTCTCCCACTTGTCTCCAAAAGCCAGGGGTTCAAATCCAAATCCACCAATCCAAACCACCAACTAAGGCTTACCTGACAGGTTGAAACACAAAAACCCTCTTGACTCCTCTTTCACCGGCCCTTTTGTTTTTGTCAACGTCGGGGTTCAGCTCTTGAGTTTTTCTTTTTCGTTTCTTCTTCTTTTCATTTAAAAAAAAAACGCCTGTCCTGGGACCCGCAGATCTGCCAAAGGAAGGCTGGCGCCCCGGGCTTCAGCACATTGTCCGCCAGCACCACGGCCTGCGCTGCCAGCCATGGCTCAAGCAGCTGCCTCGGCGGATGCGAAGCACCTGGATCTGGAAGACGTTCCAAGGATCCTCTTGACTCAGGTGTTGTTTAAACCTACCAACTTGGTTCTTGTTGAATTCGGGGAGCAACAAATGAATTTTAGCAGTAAGTGGTTGGATTTCAACCACTCACAATAAGCAAAGATATAACATGTTTCCCAACAACCACCATGCCAAGTGCGGAACTTCTTCGTCCACAGCACCAGCATGGCCCAAAGCAAGCAGCCAAACTTCGCGTATGCCGCTGAAACTGAACTCGGAGTGAGTTGATTCGAGGTGTTGTTCAAGCCGGGCTGCCAAGAGTGAAACAAATGATCGCTTGACAATGTGGCGTTGTTTCGGGGCTCCCTGGATGATGCGGAAGATTGGGGAGGGAAAGAAGAGAGCAGACCGTCGTTGACTGCCGTCACCCGTCACACCCCTGTGAGCTTGAGGGGAGGCCTGGGCCATCCTGGGCCCCTACTGCACCTCTTTCTTTCGGCACGTGACTCCTTTTTTTGACCTCCACTGAAGCAACACTGCTGGGCACATGGCACAGCCTGACGCAGCTTTGTTCCACTCCCACTGGCAGGTAAGCCCTGCGGCAACCAGACGAAACGACAAAAAGCCATGGGCCAGCCACGAAAACGTCAAAGCCGTGGGGCTGGAAAGTGAGCCCCAGCACGCAACGAGACAACAAAACCTCAAAGACATGGGGACAGAAAGGTTAGGTCATGAAAGCATCGAGGTCATGAACAGAACTGGCAGGGAACCATCCATCCCAGAGCCGGCCAACGAGTTGCAGATCTCGACCAAAGCGGGACCCTCGCTGATCGAAGAAGACGAAGTCGAATTCCTACCGGCTCGCACTTCAACAGGACCCTTCAACTCAGCTGCCACTTAGGGACTCAGCAACCCCCCCTCTTGCAAGACAGTCACCCTGCCTGGCCCAGCCGCGGCAGAAGCTGCTCGCTGTGACCCACCTGTCGTCTTTTTAAATTTGGCAGGACTGGAACATGAAGATGGTCAAAACTCCTTTTGTCTCCTGTCGGCGCTTCCAGTCCTCCGCCCTTTCAAAAGAACCAGAACTCCTGTGGCACACTGGCAAAAAAGCAACCAGATCCGCGCCTTGGCCCTTGCAAACTGAGGCTTCCTCCAGAACCCGGAAGCCCAGCAGCCACCCGTCGCCGGTGCTTTTTCCCCGCGTGTCGTGCACGCGCGCGGAAAGCGCGCGCGAGGAAAAAAAAGGGGCGGCGCCTGGATGTCCACGACCTCGGAGAGCTTGGCGTGGCTCACCAATTGGTTTGCCACCCTGGCCATGGTGGGGTCCATTTCTAGGCTGACGACCCGGCCGCCCCAGGCCTGGCGATGGGCGATGGGCCATGTTTCACCAGGCTTTTTACCCTTGCGTGGAGCCAAGAAAAAGGGGGGATGCCGGCAGAAGAAGGGTCCGGTTGAAACCATTTCTTGGAAGGCTGGGAAGGGGGGGTTGAGTTCGGCTGGGTCCTGAGGGCTTAGTTTGGCTCAGCTTGAGAACTGATTTGGGGCTGGCTGCAGAGTTGGGATCGCTTGGGATGGGTCGGGAGGATGAGTCTAGGGCTTCCCAGAAAGCCTCCCTTCATGCCTCCCGTCGCTCCCTTCCTCGTCCTCGGTGCCCATGAGTGCATGTTGATACTCAACATTACTCAACCTCACTTGCCCCTTAGGGACCCAGAAATAAAAGGTTAACCTTTTGGGGCCTTGACTCAAACTAGACCAAAAAGGAGAAACCAAAAGGTCAAAAGGTCGATTCGCTTTGGCCAACTGAGCAACTGTTGGTGTTGATGCCTCCCTTCATTCCTGAATTTCACCAGTTCCTCGTGACCATGGCCCACCGGAGGCCAAGGCAAGCTTGCGCATTGCTCTGCGCCAAGGCTTTCAATTGTGTAAGCCAACCTGGTTGAGCCAAAGACCTCCAAAAACCAACCTTCAACTTGCCCTTTTAAGTCTTTGAGTCTTGGTATTCCCCCAAAGTTGCAGGTTCAACTCGCCCTTTTGTCCTTGAGTTTCGGTCTTCCCCCAAAAATAGCCGTTGGCTGCCGTTGGGTTCAGGGGCCCCAGGGGCCCCACCGGCTGCAAGCTGCCGTCTGTTCTGCCGGCCTGCGCGGTGCTGGCCAAGCGAATTGCCGTGAAGCCCACGTAGCAGCCCACCTCGAGGATCCTTTTGGGCCGAGTCGCCCGCCTCAGCGCGGCTTCGGGGATTCGGGGAACCGGAAAAAAAAGGCGGAAGTCGCCGTGCCGCGCAACTTGGTTGACGTTGGAAGAGGAGCAACAAGTTGAATTTCTAGCAGTGAAGTGGCTGTGGGGCAAAATTAAACAATCAGGGGGCCGCAGATTTTAGTTCATATGTCCATTTACCAGGGTTGAATTTTGGGTACCCATTTTTAACCCGCAGCCAAGTAAGAATTTCAACTACTAAACGCCATAAGCAAAAACTTGCAAAATGTTTCTCAACAACAACCATGGCAATATTGCACGGGAAAAAGGCTCAAAACAAGTGAGCGTGATGTGAGGCGGAGAAGGAGCTGCCGGGCGGGTTTGATGGTTCAAAAAGCGTCTGCGGAGGCAAACTACTTGAAAGCGGGCAAGCCATCCATCTAAGCACGACATTGTGGTCATGCTTGACTTGGGCACGGAGGTTCTACCATGTCTGAGGGCTTTACACCAAAAGGAAAAAAGATTGCCTGCGCGTTGGGGCAGGAGCGGCTCGATTTGCGATGGCTGAATCCGCGTGCGTGTCGCTTTTTGCATGGTGCATTGTCACGTCCAATCCCGTCGGCTTTGAAACAACTACGAAAAAGGCGATCACCAAAATCGGCTACTGAACATACCTCAAGGTTCTAAGTGATGAATTGAAATCACCCAAAAGAGCACTTCTGTGGATGGACGAAGCCATTTCGCACCACCAAGGAAACCATGAAAGGCGGATTCCCCTGCAAACACCAACGAACGTTCTGGTTTCAAACATGGTTTCACTTCGCAGTGCGTAATGGAATTTGTCCATCTACAGCATCTTTAAAGGGCCTAGGCTCTGGGTGATCAATTTAAACTTCCATTTGGTTAAGACCCCGGAAAAAAATCAATATTTCCAGTAGTGATCGATTCCCTTTAAAACCAACAGAGGATTATGAAAAAACAAATGAGAAAAAGGGCAACTCCCCTTGAACTCCGCCCACCTCCCGCCCGACTCGGCTCGCCGAGCCCGTCGAGCGAGTGGGTTCCAAAACCGAGCGGCAGCAGGGCTTCCAGGAGCTGAGCCTTTTGGCTGCCCGCCACCTTCATCCAAACCTGGCAGGTGGCAAGCGCCACTCGAAAAGAGCCCTCCCCTCTAAACCATAAGCCCTCCCAACCCCCAAGGTCCCAAACCCCCACCCCCCACACCCACCCCCCCACCCCCTGCCTTCCGTGAGGCGCAAAACTCCTCGGCCGCCCGCAGCACGGAGTCGGGCCTTTCCTCCGCGTAGGCCCGCACGAAGGGAACCAGCTCCTAACGACTTTCGACCTGCTCCCGTTTTTTTTTTCCCGGCGGGAAATGAACACATCAAGTTGGCTCACACACTTCTGGGTGTTGTGGGTCTTTGGCCAAGCTGTTCCAAAACGTCCAAGTTCGCCCCAACTACGGGGTTTTGTGGGTATTTTGAATAATTTTGAAGACTTGCTGGTGGTTTCTTGGATGGTGGCTGTTCTGTGCCAGGGTGACTTGTGTTTGTCGAATTCGTCAAAATTGGGATCAGGATCCCTGATGTTTGCTTTGTGGGTGTTTCGTCAAACGACTCAGGACTGGGATGCCTTAAGGGGACAGCCGGCAGGTCCGGAATCGTGCAAGTATCCCCACCTTGCCCTAACTTTGTGCTTACCCTTTGTCGATTCAAAGCCAAGGGTAAGCTCGCTGGACCCATCGTTTCTTGGTTGACGTTGGAAGGGGAGCAACAAATCAAATTTTAGCAGTTAAGTGGGGATTTCCCACTAAACCACAACAAGCAAAAATGTAAAATGTTTCCCAACAACAACCCTGGTTTGTGTAAATGGGGATGTCATAAAAATGAAACTTCCTGAGATCCACCTTCTCACTTCCAATCGAGTGGATGGGCCAACACAAAGGAACAAAACGGTTTGTGTACGGTAAAATTGTTTTCCCAAAAGCTTAAAGTCCAGGAACTCAGGAAGCGAGCCTTCCCGGTTGGGAGCATAGCTGAGGCGAACCCCTTCATTCACGTGCAGTGCCTTGCAACCTCACAGCTTTCTTGGCTTGCCCATTACAGGCCCGAGACCTAGTTTACAATATTGGCCTCGCAGAGTGGCACACGTGTGAGGCTGATTGCTTGCTTGCTGTTGGCCCTTCTGCAAAAAGTAAACAACTTGTTGTGGGTCCAATTCGGGAAAACTGGCGAACCGGACGAACCCTGACGCCTGATGCTGTCAGCCCCCTCCTCTTCTCGCCATTCGCCGGGCTTCAGCGCCGCCCAAATGGGCCCAGTGTCTGCACCCAACTGACCCGCGCCGCACAGCAACGCGCCACCCAGGTCCTCGGCGAGACCGCTCAACAAAATGCCCACAGATGCCCACAGGCACAAACCGGAAGTTGGATCGATCCACCTGTTGCACCCGAGGAACCCAGCGAAAACCTGAGAAACCCTGACCGCCAGCTTCCCTCGGAGTGGTGGAGCCTGGTGGGTTGGAGCTTGGGCGGTTTCCCATTTTCCCTCTACGCGATCCAGGCGTTCGAATCCCCAAACGGATCACCAATCCAACCACCAACTAGGCTTGACCTGATTCTGTGAAACCCAAAAAAAACTTTCTGGCATGAGAAAAGGGTCGGATACCTGAACACGTAGATGCCCATGCTGATCTGCCACAGTCCTGTGTCAGGGTTTTTCGGGGACAGGGCTTGAGGATTCACAGCCGAAACCTCAACGCGCAGGCTTTGCTGGCATGCAGCCAAGCAGCAGGCCCCACCTTGGGTTCAAGCAGGGTGGAGAATGAGACTGGTGACTTCGGATTTGGAGTACCCCTTGCGAATTGGTGGTTCTCCTTTCTGTGGAAATGATATCTACTGGGGGGTTCCTCCGACTAGGGTCCTCCAGACTAATCCGAAGCTCACAAAAGCGCACATAGCCAGTTTTGAACTCAATGAAGATTTATAATATGAAGATGACAGGGTAGTTAAATAGATGAAAGCAAAGGTAGAAAGGTGCCAGGGAAGAAGCGTCAAGGTGTTTGGAGACGGCCTTGCAGCACGCGTGGTCACGCCGAATGACATGCGAGACGAAGCTCGCAGCATGAGCTTCGCAAAAAAAGAGGGGACAAAAACACATCGGGACATGACAAATCATCAAATTGAGGCTGCCAAAACCCTTAATAAAGGCAAGAACCCTACCCTTGTGCCAGGCCAAACTCGTGATGTCTTTGGCTGCTAAATTGGTTCCTTTGATGAAAATTGCCCGTGACAATTACTGGTATTTGTCCACAACAGCCTCGCGGAACGAGGGGGGCGATATGGGGCGATCTCACAAATTGCCGCTTGATTCTTTCCTTGAATGGGGCCTGAAGCTTACGACATTTCCCGGCAAGGTGCCGCCCCCAGCTCCGGCAGCCGCCGCAGGATGCTGTTGAAAGCCTCTCAGGTGTTCAAAAGAAATCCGCCAGACCTCTCCAGAACACCCAAGAAGGTTCTACAGGAACTGCTCTGGAAGCTAACGTTAAAACGGTCGCCGAAGCGCATATAGCACCCAATTTTGCAGATTTGCAGCGATTTGGCGAAACGTGGGGGGGGGGGGGGGGTGAGATTTTTTCATGACGACCTGCGAAACATGCAGATCCCCTGTTGAAGGCCTTGAGATCCCCTGTCGAAGGCCCGATCTTGTGTGTGTGCTCCAAAGCCCATGTTATGCCCTGTGAAACAGCCACTTCTGGTCCTGGCCCCTTTGCTTAGCATAGCTCCGGAAAGCAATGCTGCTCCACTTCTGAGATGCCAGAAGGCCTTCCTGACATGCAGTATTTATTTTGGAAACTGAAATGGTATCACAGGATGTCCGTTACCGTGTTTCCATGAACCAACCACTGATGCTTCTTTTGGGTTCCCCCTGCCCTAGAGGGGAGGCAGCCGAAAGCAACGCATTGTTACCGCCAACCAGAAGCTACCAATGCAAGTTGGCAAATCTTGGAGACGGCTGTTCTGCAGACCAAAGGCTACGAAGACAGCTTTTGCAACTGCCCGTGGAGAAACAAAGCGCGATGAGTGGGTTTCGTGCACGGGCGTTTGCTAGAAGCACTCCACAAGCACCCCAATCAGACTCCAATCAGCTTTTTCTGGTAGGGATATGGGTCCCAATGTCTCGCGCGACGCCTTTTGCAACGCTCGAAGTTTGGCATACCAAGAAACGTCAGCGAAAAACACTTTGAGGGAGCAACCATGGATTTTGCCTAAGGAAGTCCAACAAGAGACACCCAAAGCAGGGCGCGTCTCAGGCAAAAGGGTGTCCCTGAGGAAACTGCCCTATATTCTAGAGTCTTTCCAGTTCTTTTTCCAGAGCACAACCGGAAATAACAAGGAACACGACTTGTTTCGCAAAAGAACGATCTTTGACAAAAACAAGGGTTCCGGCGAAAATGGTTGGTGAATTTTTGCCCCCTCTTCCCCGCAAAGTGATTTGCAATAAGTTCCCCTCAAAATAGTGGGGCTTCCCCCCACGAAAGGGATTGCCACCAACTGTGGCCCAGTAGAAACAGGGCAGGCATGCCCCAAAACCAGATCTAGCACACCTTTTCGAGTTTCGTCCTCCCCCCCCCCACCCCACCCCACCCACCCACCCCACCCCACCCCACCCCACCCCTCCCACCCCAAGCCACCCATCCAACTTTCGACCCCCCGAACCTCTGCCAGCCGCAGCTGCGGGAGGCTGCGGACCAGCGCCGCCAAGGACCGGTCATCGAAGCCCAGCAACTCCCGGGTCCTCACCTCGGGCGCCCGGGCGCCGGAGGAGACGGCGGAGGGGGAGGCAGGCGGCGGCCGAGCTCTTGGGCGCGAGCGGGAGGGTGTTTTAAGCGGGAAACCGTTTGAAGGAAGCCGCAAGTCGTTGGGTTCCCGGATTTGTTTACATACCAATGAGCAACTAGGTCCAGATGTGAGAGCTTAGAACAAGGGTACCAACTTTCTTTTTTCGGTTTTGTCTATTTTAGTAGGGGAACCCTCCCCCGGAAAAGAAACGGTAAACGGAAACGGGCAGCTAGCTGGGGGACCTAGGCAATTGTGAAAACTCTTGTTCTCCTTTTCGGGCGAAACGGGTAGTGCATAGCCCCAGAAAAACGGCGCAGCCCTCGGCAGTGTGACCTGCATCGCCGGATCCGCCCCAGCCACAGACTACATAAGTATGCCCAGTTAATTGGATGCACTGGGCTCAGTTCAGGCTTGTTGACAAAAGAAAGGATCGATGGTGCCCATAATATGCCTAAAGGCATCACAAACAGGTCAAACAACAACATATCCACTTCTTGTTTGAACCCGCATGTGGGTGTAAGAATCCTTTTTCGACCTTGAAGATCCGCCTTGCTTGGGCAATGTTCACAGCACATACGTGAGATGGCAACTAGCATGTTGCGCCATGCAATGACCTTGCCAGCATGAAGGGCTTGCAAAACTGGCGATTGAGGTAAAAGAATCCTTTCAAACACCCAAAGCCAGAAAGGAAAGCTGTAAGCTGTTCTCGTCGTACCCTCCCCTCTCTCTCTTCCTGTGTATTCTCATAAAATGGGACCCCCCCGCCAAAGTTCACCTGCTGAGCCGGTTAACAGCTTGGAGCAAGCCTCTGGCATCTTCCCAACAGTTGGACCTCCCCTGGCTGGCGTTGAAGGCCATTGAAAAAGGGCTTAACAAAAAAGAAAAACATAATAAAACAAAAAAAAAGTCCAGGGATGCAGGGGGCCGGAAGGAGGAATGAGAGCACGGATTGGAGAATGGTATCGGACAAGAACACACTAGGTTCTTCCCTCCTTGTGGGCTGACGCCAAAGGGGAGTCTCACCATTCGAAGGCTAATGGAGCCAGAAGGCTTTGCCAATCAGAGTGGGCTTCTCCAAAGACCACCTGAAACTCATTGCGCTCCAGGGCTGCATTCTGAAAGAGGGCTTCCACCCAATCTTCCATAACTGCTGGAAAATGGGGCGTCTTGTGATACACCTCGTGACACAAATCAATTTGGACTTGTCCGAAAGAACCCCCATGAACCCCCCGGCCAAAAAAAAAAACGAGAAACGCAAAAAACAACAAGAACAACCACAAAAAGCACTTGGTGGCATCCCTTCCGACTATCTCCCCCCTCCCCGCCCCCCACTCTCCGGGCGGCCATGCGCCGCATCGCCCCCAAAACCGCCGCGCCGGCGCCGGCGGCGGCGGCGGCGGCGGGGAGGTGGGTCAAGGCCCAGGCCAGGCTGGCCGTCTCTCGGGGCTCCAAAGCGTCCATGGACAAAGGCGCCTGTCGGCTCTGTTGTCCGGTTTGGGGGGGATGGGGGTGCAAGCCTCTTCTAACTTGCCCAAAGTAAACCAGAAATGAGAGGCGATCCCCTTTCGGGGTTTTGGGAAAAAACGGTTCTCGCTTGCACATAAAGGACCCAGAAATGAAAGGTTACCCCTTGAAGACCCTTGGGGCCATGACAAATTGAGCAAAAGGGGAAATCAAAAGGTCAAAGGTCGGCCTTGGGTTGGTTCCGTTGTCCGGTGGGTGGGAAAACGCTGGGCCTTGCTTGGGCGGGCTGGCTGGGCGGAAAACACTCTTCTCGCTTGCCCAGGTTGGCCCCAGAAATGAAGGCTGATCGCCTTGCAGGGCCGCGTCGAAAAAACTGGACCAATCAAAAGGGCGAGTGAACCAAAAGCAACAATCCCCCCCCCCCCCGACCTCCACAGGTTTGCTCTTGCCAATGCTCAGCATTGGATTTTCCAATGGGTGACGGTTGAAAGGCTCCAAATTCTTCGGACACTCAAGCCGGTTCCTTTCAGGGGGGTCCCCCCCCGTTTGACCAACCTTGACATGGGTGGCCCCCCTTTGATCTTCCACAACCAAACTGGAGCTAACAGTTTTCCGGACATGTCCCAGCCGTGGTCCCTTTGAGAACTTTCGGAGAAAAAAAGATGCGCCCATCCCTAGGAAACGGTGTGGATGTGTTTTTCGTGGATCCACCTCTGTAGGATAGCAAAAGAGAACTAATAGAGTATCAAAAGAGGAACAGCTGGTTAAAAAAAGAATGGGGGACCCACAGAGAGCGCATCCAACCCGCTTGCGGGACCCACCCACAAGGGGACTTCCACCCAACCATGTTTGCAGTATGCCCCCGGCCATGTGGGACCTATGTGGGACAAGTGGGGTTGGTCCCCTGAGTCCTCCATTGGCGGCCTTCGGACTTGAAGCCGATGGGCAAGGAAAGCAAGAGGACCAGCACAAAATGTTCCGCCCTCTTGGTGTGGTCATCTCAGACAGGGATCCGGATGCATTCTACACCTGAACATTGCAACTTGTAAATGGTGGTTTCTCTTTTTCTTTTGGTGTTGAAAAAGCAACATGTTTCAAATGGTTGCAACATGTATCTTTTACGGAGCCTTGTATAGAGGCCCGGGGCATCTTGTCCAAAACCGACATGGCGAACCAAACAAGGCGGCGAAAAAATCCACGCGCAGCCGTGCCCCGCCACACGCCTGCAGCAACCTTCCCAGCTCCTCCACGGCTTCCAGGCTCGCCAGCGCCCAGGCGCACATGGCCAACCTCAGGACTTCCCAGCATAGAGGTTAGAATCAGGGTGCCCACTTTTTTCGGTAGTCTATGTTCGTAGGGGGACCCTCCCCCCCCCAAAAAAAAAGAGAGTCAAAGGGCACCTAGCTGGGAGACCTAGCGGGCCCCCTCTCAAGGGACACTTCCCTCGAAATTTGGGCCGTCCTGGCTTCCCTAGGCCCGTTCGAGCTCCGATGGATGCATCCTTCCAACCCCGCGCTTGCAGCGTTCATGCGGCGCCTTGGGCGATAACAAACGCGGAGCTCACAGGATGCTTCACCAAAGGGAAAGCAAAGCAAGCCACAAGAAGGGCATGGCAATGCTGTTAGCACATTCCGCTGGAGCAGGAGCCAACATCCATCATGGCAAGGCGTGCGGCAGTTCATATCGAGCGTCTCCTGGCTCCGCATGCAGTGCCTTTTCTGAACAGCCTCGTCGAAGATGCATGCATGAAGTTCTTGGGTCTCCTCGAGCAGAGCAGCATCACACCATCCTACGCGCTAGATGAAGGTCTTGCGCAGGGATACGTGAGCAACAAGCAGTTGCATGCTTCCGCAGACAAACAAACAAACAAACAAACAAACAAACAGACAAACAGACAAACTGCAAACTTTCCCAATTGCATCGACTGGATGCGCGCAGTGGACGTGGAAATGCATGCGAACTTCACCTAAAATGCAATTGCCCTTGGAGGGTGCAAACAGCTAAAGTTTAAAGACGAATAGCCACAAAGGATCCTACCCCCCCTCCCCAAAAAAAATGCAAGAACCTCTTGCTCACCATATCCTGGCTCTTTCGCTTTCCTTTTTTTCCCTCCAGGTCCGCCACCACTTTTGCGCTCCCCTCCCTAAGGCGAAGGACAAAAAAGACGCGGTCGCATCGGGTCCTGGGAGCGCCACTGGAGAGTGGCAAAGCCCCAAAGGATGTTGGCCAGCACGCGGCTGCTCAGCTCCTAAGTCGCACCGTCTGTGGGAGCTACTTCGAAAGGGAAACCAACAGGCCACCATCTCCCAGGGGAGGGTAGTTTGTTTTGGGGCTGTTTCAAAGGGACACCAACAGGCAACCGCCCATTTTACAGGATCCCCCATTCTGACACACACCAGTGGCAAGGTGCATCCGATGAATTCTTATAGTTCTGGAGCACGGCTTTCCCGGAGTAAGGCTTTGATGCAATGGGTACATTACAGCGAGCTCACCAGGTACGAGCTCGCCCAGAGGTCTTTTAGGGATTGCGTCACTTCCGGTTAAGTGGCTTCCTGGTCCTTCCGGTCCTCAGGATTGCCCTGAACATAGAACAAGCCCCTGGGTTTCGAGGAACGCTTTTCTTTTTTGGGGTTCTGTGCTCTCACTCAGGTGCCACCAAAAAAAAACCCAGAATTGCAAGGTGATCAAGTTTTTGGGGCCATCACTTGTCGACCAAACAGGGGAAGCCAAAAGGTCGATTCATGTCGATTCGCTTTGGTTGCAAGTGAGCCAAAGTTGACATTCAGGAACCAAGTACCCGTCCATGCCAAGAGGCTCCGCGCTTTGCCACCGCCTCAAAATCAGTCGCTCTCGTCATTTTGCGCCCGCGTTTTGGCTTAACACATGAACCACCGTGGATGGACATGGATGGACGAAATCCGTTTCGCGCCACCTAGGAAGCCCTGCAAGGATGATTCCCCTGTAAATACCAAAAAACAAATGGTGTCCCATGGTTTCAAAGTGGTGCGAAATGGATTTCGTCCATCGACAGTGGTTGCGGCTCCGGACGAAAAATCGTTTCGAGGAACCAAGCTGAATGGGAGTGGCCGACACTACGTGATCGTGATGCTTCTGGGGAAAATCCGACGCAATTCTGTGATACGTTGACTACTTTGCCACTTTCAAAGAGGCTCCCTTTCCCTGCGTGTCCTTTTTCCTGTGGGTAACCCTTTTGCGGGTGCACAGGAAAACTGAAGGAAAACCACCCACTTTCATGCTCCCCGACTTGTACAAACCAACAACATTTTTTGATTCTGGCCCAGCGGCGAAAACATGCACTTGTCCTGTTGATATCTCAAAGCATGCTCGCAGTTTCCCCGGCCATGCGGACCATCTTCTTCCGCCTTCCCCCCCCTTCCCCCCCTCCCCCCCTCCCCCCCCTCGCTCGCCTCCTCCTCCAAAGCGAGCAGCAACTTTGGATCCCGCATCCCGCCGTGGCGCTTGGTGCCGTGACCCTCCTTCGAAAAACATCAACCAGCGTGTCATTCTTAGGGCAATCGGATCCCCGAATAGCCAGGGCATGGACCTTTTAACCAAGTATGGCTTTCAGTCATAGGTGGCCTTTTGCAAAAATAGATGGCCCGGTAAATGGAATCAAACCCGTCTAAGCCAGTGCCATCTCTTTCCAACCAAAGTCAGCCAAAAAGGGCACCTGTGCTTTTCAGTGGGGCAACACTCGGCCATCCATTGGGTTCCAACAAATGGGCCCCTTTCGGATGCACACACTTCTTCCTGAGGGCTTTCCCTTGTTACCCAATGGGGGACTCCTGAGCCATGTAAGGATCATTCATTTGCAAGGCTTTGAAGGCAACAGTACCTCACTGCCTGGCTTGTCCGAAGAAAGTAACCAAGCCAACAAAGAACCTCTAACATCCTCGTTTTTTGAGCTATTGGCCATAGCACGGTTGACTTTGGAGAAACCATGATTTAAACCCAGAACACATGGGCGTGGCTCAAAATTTAAGAGCTGGGGTTACGCAGGGTTTGGTCGTTGCTTCCATTTACCTCGGGCCCATGTTGGGTCCATCTTTTTGAGCTTCCCCTGGTAAGGAACCAGCTGTGTCAAAACTGGATTTCGTTGGTTTCCTGCTGGTTTCCCTTTGAAGCAAGTTGAAATAAACATACCCTCCGACAATCATGCAAGTGGAACTTCGGCTTCCCGAAAAGGAACGTCGCCAGCCAAAACCCTGTCAATCATGACTGGAAGGGTACAGGGCCTGGATACCCCTGAGGTCAACGATTTTCCTGGCGGATTCCGCCAAAACCGCCCCAAAATTCTAGGTTCCATGGCGGATTCCACCAAAACGAGCCCCAAAATTCCAGGCTCCAAGCTGGAGAAGCTACACCGCCACCACCGCGGGGCCCGTCTCGCCTGGCCGGCAGCACACGCCCACACCGCCGCACCCAGCTGCACCGCTGAGAGCTCTCCACAGCGCGCCGCCACCTCGCCTTCACGCCAGCAGCGCCAAGAGCTGCGCCAAAAAATGGGCGAACCAACCGCCAAGCCATTTTTTCCGAGGAAACAACAACTCCAAACTTTGGGGCCCCAAATCCGAGGAAACAAATCCAAAACTTGGGGCCCCAAACATCTTGGGTCTTTTCCAACAACAACACCAAACTTTGGGGCCCCAAATCCGAGGAAACAACTCCAAAATTTGGGGCCCCAAACATTTTGGGTCTTTTCCGAGGAAACAACTCCAAGATTTGGGGCCCCAAACTTTTTTTCCGAGGAAACAACAACTCCCAACTTTGGGGCCCCAAATCCGAGGAAACAAATCCAAAACTTGGGGCCCCAAACATCTTGGGTCTTTTCCGAGGAAACAACTCCAAAATGTGGGGTTTCAAACTTTTTTTTCGAGGAAACAACAACTCCAAACTTTTGGGGCCCAAATCCGAGGAAACAACTCCAAGATTTGGGGCCCCAAACATTTTGGGTCTTTTCCGAGGAAACAACTCCAAGATTTGGGGCCCCAAACTTTTTTTTCGAGGAAGCAACAACTCCCAACTTTGGGGCCCCAAATCCGAGGAAACAAATCCAAAATTTGGGGCCCCAAACATTTTGGGTATTTTGCGAGGAAACAACTCCAAGATTTGGGGCCCCAAACATTTTTTTCGAGGAAACAACAACTCCAAACTTTGGGGCCCCAAATCCGAGGAAACAACTCCAAAATTTGGGGCCCCAAACATTTTGGTTCTTTCCGAGGAAACAACTCCAAGATTTGGGGCCCCAAACCTTTTTTCCGAGGAAACAACAACTCCAAGATTTGGGGCCCCAAACAATTTTTCCGAGGAAACAACTCCAAGATTTGGGGCCCCAATCATTTTTTCGAGGAAACAACAACTCCAAGATTTGGGGCCCCAAACTTTTTGTTCGAGGCAACAACAACTCCAAGATTTGGGGCCCCAAACATTTTTCCGAGGAAACAACAACTCCAAGATTTGGGGCCCCAAACATTTTTTCCGAGGAAACAACAACTCCAAGATTTGGGGCCCCAATCATTTTTTTCGAGGAAACAACAACTCCAAGACTTGGGGCCCCATTTTTTTCCGAGGAAACAACAACTCCAAAAATTGGGGCCCCGAACATTTTGTTCGAGGAAACAACAACTCCAAGATTTGGGGCCCCAAACATTTTTTTCGAGGAAACAACAACTCCAAGATTTGGGGCCCCAAACATGTTTTCGAGGAAACAACAACTCCAATATTTGGGGCCCCAAACATTTTTCCGAGGAAACAACAACTCCAAGATTTGGGGCCCCAAACATTTTTTTCCGAGGAAACAACAACTCCAAGATTTGGGGCCCCAAACATTTTTTTCCGAGGAAACAACAACTCCAAAATTTGGGGCCCCAAACATTTTTTCGAGGAAACAACAACTCCAAAATTTGGGGCCCCAAACATTGTGGGTATTTTCCGAGGAAACAACTCCAAAATTTGGGGCCCCAAACCTTTTTCCGAGGAAACAACAACTCCAAGATTTGGGGCCCCAAACAATTTTTCCGAGGAAACAACTCCAAGATTTGGGGCCCCAATCATTCTTTTCGAGGAAACAACAACTCCAAGATTTGGGGCCCCAAACATTTTTTTCGAGGCAACAACAACTCCAAGATTTGGGGCCCCAAACAATTTTTCCGAGGAAACAACAACTAAGATTTGGGGCCCCAAACATTTTTTTCGAGGAAACAACAACTCCAAGATTTGGGGCCCCAATCATTTTTTTCGAGGAAACAACAACTCCAAGATTTGGGGCCCCAAACTTTTTTTCCGAGGAAACAACAACTCCAAAAATTGGGGCCCCACACATTTTTTCGAGGAAACAACAACTCCAGGATTTGGGGCCCTAAACATTTTTTTCGATCAAACAACAACTCCAAGATTTGGGGCCCCAAACATTGTGTTCGAGGGAACAACGACTCCAAGATTGGGGGCCCCAAACATTTTTTCCGAGGAAACAACAACTCCAAGATTTGGGCCCCAAGCAATTTTTCCGAGGAAACAACAACTCCAAAATTTTGGGCCCCAAACATTTTTTCCGAGGAAACAACAACTCCAAGATTTGGGGCCCCAAACATTTTTTTCGAGGAAACAACAACTCCAAGATTTGGGGCCCCAAACATTTTTCCGAGGAAACAACGACTCCAAGATTTGGGGCCCCAAACATTTGTTTCGAGGAAACAACAACTCCAAAATTTGGGGCCCCAAATTTTTTCGAGGAAGCAACAACTCCAAGATTTGGGGCCCCAAACATTTTGTTCGAGGAAGCAACAACTCCAGGATTTGGGGCCCCAAAGTTTCTTTTCCGAGGAAACAACAACTCCAAAATTTGGGGCCCCAAACATTTTTTCGAGGAAACAACAACTCCAAGAGTTGGGGCCCCAAACATTTTTTTCGAGGAAACAACAACTCCAAAAATTGGGCCCCAAACATTTTTCCGAGGAAACAACAACTCCAAGATTTGGGGCCCCAAACATTTTTTCCGAGGAAACAACAACTCCAAGATTTGGGGCCCCAAACATTTTTTCCGAGGAAACAACAACTCCAAAATGTGGGGCCCCAAACATTTTTTCGAGGAAACAACAACTCCAAGATTTGGGCCCCAAACATTTTTTTCCGAGGAAACAACAACTCCAAGATTTGGGGCCCCAAACATTTTTCCGAGGAAACAACAACTCCAAAATTTGGGGCCCCAAACATTTTTTCCGAGGAAACAACAACTCCAAGATTTGGGGCCCCAAACATTTTTCCGAGGAAACAACAACTCCAAGATTTGGGGCCCCAAACATTTTTTCCGAGGAAAGAACTTCAAAATTTGGGGCCCCAAATCCGAGGAAACAACTCCAAAATTTGGGGCCCCAAACATGTTGGGTCTTTTCCGAGGAAACAGCTCCGAAATTTGGGGTCCCAAACATTTTGGGGCCCTTCCCTGGCTGTAAAGAACCAAACCGCCAAAGTGGAATTCAAAGGGCCCAAGATCGAGTTGATTGGCCTCGCAAGTGGCGTGCACGTCAATCTGAAGCTGTTGACCCCACTGCGCAACGTTTTAATCTAAGTTTTGTGGGTCCAATTCGGACAACCCACCCAGCTTCAACAAATAAGCTAAAGTCCAAAGATCAGCTACCAAATAGCCAGAAACACATGGTGACCCCTTGAACGTGCGGTCGTTAGGCAAAAAAAAGGGGTGACCCCAAGTGGAGCCTGGTGGGTTTGTTCCGATCCTTTACCGCCATACGAATCGAACAATCCAAGAACCAAGGGCCCCCGATTTTGGCACTGTGGCACCATTGTGGCACCAAAGCCGGCTGGAATTGGCATCTCCAAGCCACCTCCATTGCTGGAGGGACATGTCAACGCAGGTTGCATACCCCTGGCTGGTTTCACGGACCTCCCCTACAACCGGCGCGAAACGAGTTCTCGCTCGAGCGCGCGAAATCCTCCGCCTGCCATTCCTTCCAGCGCCGTCCTCACCTGAAGCCGGGCGGCCGCCCAGAACAAGTTGGCCAGCTGCTGACTGCTGACACGCGCCTGCGCCTGCGCTTCTGCTACCGCGGCTCGAGAGAGGCGCAATCGACGCGGAGGCTTTTGGGCTCGGAACACGCCAAAGCGAAACTCGATCTTTTTGGCTGCCCTTTGGTGTTCCCTGAAGAAAGCAGAAACCAAAAAGCAAGAAGTGTCAGCCAAAGAACACCCTCAGAGGCGCATCCAAGCAAGAGGCTTCCCGAAAGGGCACCTTCGAGCGGCTAGAACCTCTCGAGAGGATCTGTCGAGGGCTCGGAACCCTTAAAGAACCCGATCCCGTTGAATTCCCTTCGGCTTCCCTCATCAAAATCAGCGATGCTATCATGATCCGGGGCAAACAACATATTGATATGAAACACCGAGCACGCAGGTACAAAACAAACGTCGTATTTGTATCTTTCTGACACCCAGATCTGGCAACAACGGTCAAAGGTTGGATCCTGCCCTCACCCAGCGGTGGATCCCCCAACATGGTCGAATGCTTGGCAGGCTTGCACGAGGCGGATCTTCCACTTGAGTGTGTCTTGTCCTTTCTTGAGAGGGTACCCCTTTCGGGGCTAACTTAAAAAGTGGTTCAAAGCCAGCCCCGCCTTTGAAGAGGGTACCCCTACTGCGGATGGACGAAATCCATTTCGCACCGCAGGATTACGACCATACACTGCATTTTGACACATACCAACTTTCGCCCAAAACTTCTTTTCCGCTCCTTCTCGCCTGGGATCGGAACAGGAGCTCCGCATTCTCTGCGTGGCGGACCGTGGCCAAAGCCCAGGCCGTATTGGCCAGCTCCTGGGGAATTGATTGGTGGGGTGAGCAAAGCACCTGGAAACAAACATGGAGAACCGAAAGGTCAAAAGGTGAGGTCTAATAAAAGGAGGGGTAGGTGCCCTCCCACAGATGCTATGTTGGTGGGAGGAGGTTAACCTTTTGGAACCCAACAAACATGTACCAAGCATGGAATTATCCAAACGGGTCAACCGGTCAAAAGGTCGGGCCTTTCGACATGAGGGTTCACTGAATTTCCCCTTCAACGGTATTGAAACAACCCTACTGCGGGGTTCCATTGAAACAAGGGACATGGAGGAAACCCAGTGAAGCGGTCTTTTTTTGTGTTTTTGGTGGGGAGGGGGGGGTTTTCGCAGAACATTGTGGGTTGAACGCGCTCATCATTTTCTTGTGTTTTGGGGGTCGCTCAGTTGCCCAAAGGACCTGGAAATTGGAGGCGATCAACTTTTGTGATCACACGACTATGGACCACAGGAAATCCAAACGTAAACTCAGCTTTCGGCAACTGAGGACATGCATCTTTCTGGGGGGGAGGTGTTCTGTTTAGGGAGAAATGATGGGTCTGCGTGAGTGATAACTTATAACAATTCACAAATTCACAAAACTGCCCCATTTGGGGAAAGTGTCATTCGCTTGTTTGGGCCGACCCAACTGCAGCTGAATTGGAACTGCCGGAACATGTCAATTGCCCAAAGGACCCAGGTGAAACGGTTAATCTTAGGACTTGATTAATAAATCCCCCCGGAATAATGACTTTTTCTCGCCCCGGGCCAGAAAAAATCCAATACTTATTTTTAATTAGCCAATACATAGTTTAGTCTTGGTGCCCCAGTTGACACAAGAAATCCCCCCGGAATAATAACTTTTCCGAGGCCAGAACTCCCAAAATTCGAATACTAGTTTTAATCTCCCCAATACTAATTGCAATTCAAACCCGGTGGCCAAGCAAACAAACACAAGGTTTCTTGGACTCCAGCACTGCCTCCCCCACATCAAAGCAACCCCCCTACAACTATGCTCCTGCACCAGAAAAATCATCCCTGCACTGCCATACTACAGCCCCACAGCAAAGGGACAAGCGGGGGGGGCCAGATCAAGCAGAATTCCTTCCTGCGCCGCCTTGTCGGCAGATCTCTTTGGTGTAATGGATAAAGCATTAGCTTTGAAAGCGCAAGGTACTGAGTTCAATTCCTCGTGGCGTCTTTTTCCTTGTGCTGGTTCCTTTCCTCTTGCTGTGGTGGCCTTGGCTTTTTTTCTGCTCTGGGGGTTGTCCTTGAGTTTCAGAAGTGCTCTGTTCCCAAACCCCAAAGCTCCAACACGCTTCACCAGCACCAAAACTTGCAACCCCAAGTACTCAGCTTGTACTGAAGACCTAGACTTTTCATCCTTGCGTGGACTTCTGCACAGCAAGGCTCAGCAAGCGGTGCCCCCCTACAATAATAGCATTACCCAGAATAATAGCCAAGCCCTGCAGCCACTGGGGCCTGTAACAATGCTTCTGCTGATGTGCTGGAGCAATCTTTTGCGGCCCTGCCTGGAGGCCAAGTGAACTTCCAGTGCCGGTTTGGAGACTTGTTGTACTTCCCAGAAGCCTTCGCCTGGTGGTCCAGTGAACTTTCACTGGTGTGGCAAGGCTGCTTTGGACACTTGTTGGCTTTGGGTCTGCACTTGCAAGCCTTGCCTGTGGCCCATCGAGGTTCTACTGGTGTGCCAGGCTGCTTTGGACACGTGTTGGGTGCTTCGGGTTGTTTATTGAAACCTGCTGCTTCCTCAGCACTTGCAAGCCTTGCCTGTGGCCCATCCAGGTTCCACTGGTGTGCCAGGCTGCTTTGGACACGTGTTGGGTGCTCAGTTGCAAGCCTTGCCTGTGGCCCATCAAGGTTCCACTGGTGTGACAGGGCTGCTTTGGAAACTTGTCGGTGGCTTTGGGTTGTTTATTGGACCCTGGTGCTCTTGCTGCCTGGCCCGTGGCTTCAGTGAGCTCCCCTGGTGTGGCAAGCCAAATCGGGCACTTGTCCTGGCTTTTGAGCTTCCACTGTGGCAGTGCCAGTTTTGGAGACCTGTTTGGTCCTGGAGGTTGTGTGCTTCCCAGCACTTTGTGGCCTTGCCTGTGGCTCCAGGTGTGGCAGGGTTGCTTGACCTCGCCAGCCTGCTGAGTTCAGGCCGACAGCCCCACAGCAAAGGGACAAGCGGGGGGCCAGATTAAGCAGAATTCCTTCCCGCTTGTTGGCAGATCTCTTTGGTGAAATGGATAACGCATTGTCTTTGACAGCACAAGGGACTGGGTTCGATTCCTCATGGCGTCTTTTTCCTTGTGCTGGTTCCTTTCCTCTTGCTGTGGTGGCTTTGGATTTTTTCAGCTCTGGGGGTTGTCCTTGAGTTTCAGAAGTGCTCAGTTCCATTCCCAAACCCAGAGCTCCAACACGCTTCACCAGCACCAAAACTTGCAACCCCAAGTACTCAGCTTGTACTGAAGACCTAGACTTTTCATCCTTGCGTGGACTTCTGCACAGCAAGGCTCAGCAAGCGGTGCCCCCCTACAATAATAGCATTACCCTACTCAGCTTGTACTGAAGACCTTAGACTTTTCATCCTTGCATGGACTTCTGCGCAGCAAGGCTCAGCAAGCGGCCCCCCCCCTACAATAGTAGCAGTACCCAAAATAATGGCCAAGCCCTGCAGCCACTGGTTCCCACATTCCCAAACCAAAAGCTCCAAACAATTCCAAAATCCAAAACTTCATCAGCACCAAAACTTGCAATCCCAAGTACTCAGCTTGTACTGAAGACCTTAGACTTTTCATCCTTGCATGGACTTCTGCGCAGCAAGGCTCAACAAGCGGTGCCCCCCTACAATAATAGCATTACCCAGAATAATAGCCAAGCCCTGCAGCCACTGGCCCCCAAATTCCCAAACCCAAAGCTCTAATGAAACAATTCCAAAATCCCAAACTTCATCAGCACCAAAACTTGCAATCCCAAGTACTCAGCTTGTACTGAAGACATTAGACTTTTCATCCTTGCATGGACTTCTGCACAGCAAGGCTCAGCAAGCGGCGCCCCCCTACAATAATAGCAGTACCCAGAATAGTGGCCAAGCCCTGCAACCACTGGCCCACAAATTCCCAAACCCAAAGCTCCAAACAAGTCCAAAATCCCAAACTTCACCAGCACCAACACTTGCAATCCCAAGTACTCAGCTTGTACTGAAGAGCTTAGACTTTTCATCCTTGCATGGACTTCTGCGCAGCATGGCTCAGCAAGCGGTGCCCCCCTACAATAATAGCATTACCCAGAATAATGGCCAAGCCCTGCAGCCACTGGTTCCCACATTCCCAAACCAAAAGCTCCAAACAATTTGCAATCCCAAGTACTCAGCTTGTACTGAAGACCTTAGACTTTTCATCCTTGCATGGACTTCTGCACAGCAAGGCTCAGCAAGCGGTGCCCCCCTACAATAATAGCAGTGCCCAGAATAGTGGCCAAGCCCTGCAACCACTGGCCCACAAATTCCCAAACCCAAAGCTCCAAACAATTCCAAAACCCAAAACTTCACCAGCACCAAAACTTGCAATCTCCAAGTACTCAGCTTGTACTGAAGACCTTAGACTTTTCATCCTTGCATGGACTTCTGCACAGCATGGCTCAGCAAGCGGTGCCCCCCTACAATAATAGCATTACCCAGAATAATGGCCAAGCCCTGCAGCCACTGGTTCCCATTCCCAAACCAAAAGCTCCAAACAATTCCAAAATCCTAAACTTCATCAGCACCAAAACTTGCAATCCCAAGGACTCAGCTTGTACTGAAGACCTTAGACTTTTCATCCTTGCATGGACTTCTGCACAGCAAGGCTCAGCAAGCGGTGCCCCCCTACAATAATAGCATTACCCAGAATAATGGCCAAGCCCTGCAGCCACTGGTTCCCACATTCCCAAACCAAAAGCTCCAAACAATTCCAAAATCCCAAACTTCATCAGCACCAAAACTTGCAATCCCAAGTACTCAGCTTGTACTGAAGACCTTAGACTTTTCATCCTTGCATGGACTTCTGCACAGCAAGGCGCAGCAAGCGGTGCCCCCCTACAATAATAGCATTACCCAGAATAATGGCCAGGCCTACACTACCCCCTACAATAATAAAACCCCCTCAGAATAAATGTCATCTACAAACCAGAATTCCACAAAAATAATGCACCTTCAATTTAATTTTAAATTGCCCTTCACTTTTCTTCTTTCTTGTCTCTCTGCCTTCCCATCCCCCCCTCCCCCCTTCCACCCCCCCACAATTTGGACCCAGGCTTGTTGTAGGGGGGGGGGGGGGGACCGGGGGGGGCCCCCCTATTAATCAAGAGCAAAGATTAACCTTGTGCGGCCATTGCTAAAACATGAGCAAACATTGATCAAAAAGGTCGGCCTTGGGCAAGCAAGTCTTGCCTCAGTCAGGGCATCCCAATGCCTAAGACAAGACGGTGAGACGCAAGCAGAGCCCCTTCCAGCCAGTAGCGCAAAGGTTGCAAGCACCACACTGGCTACGGGTGGATCCTCAAATGGCAGTGTTGCTCCAAAAGTTTTGGGGTAGAAATTCGGTGCCTGGTGGGCAAAACAAAGAAAGCCAAGCATGTCTCTTCTTGAAGTCTCCATGACCCTTTGAGAGCATGGCCGCACAACGTAGCATATGGCGCTATGCACGGGCTCCTACACATCCCCCCGGGTTGGTGGGTGGTTGGTGGGTGGATGGGTGCATTTTGGGGTTTGCTACGCGGCTGACACTGGATGACATGCTAAGGATTGCTTTCCAATGGACAATTGTCTCACTTCCGATCGAGTGGATTGGCCGGAAAAAGTATCCGCAATTGGTCTAGGCCACAAAAATGGTCCCACCCTCTGGTTGGTGTGGGGTGGTTGATGTGGGGTGGTTGGTGTTGGTGGGCATACTCAACCTTTTGGTGTCGTTTAGGTGGCCGACAGTGGACAATTGTCTCACCAAGCTGTGTTCTATGCCACTGAAATGGTCCAAACTCAAAAAGTGGCTAAAGTCAAACTCAGGACTCACTGAGCAACGGCTCCTGACCGCCAAAGTCCAAGTCCAGTTTCCCCGCCAGGCTAAAGAGAGGCGAATGCTCCGCCAGGCGAGCGAGGCTCCATAAAACGTTGCTGACGTGGCGGCCATCACAGAGGTGCCTCATGCAGAAGGCAAACCCGTTGGCCAGCGGACAACAACAACAACAACAAAAAAAACATTCTGAAGACCCAGCATCTTGCGTGTGAATGACGCGAGTGTGTGTGTGTGTGTCTATGAGGCATGTCTCTTTGTGTAACCTCCGTGCTTTCGCGCGTGGCATGGCGTGGCGCGGTGTGGCAGCGCGGCGCAGCGTGCTGTGCGAAGTGCTATGCACCGCACACCGCACCGCAGTGTCGTGCTGTGAGCGTATCTCTTTATGTCTCTGGGCCTCTGTGTGCATGAGTTCGCGTGCATCCCCGCATGAGTAAGTCTCTCTCTCTCTCTGTGTTGTCTCTGTGTCTGAGCGCAGGTGTCTCTCTCTCTGTCCCTCTGTGTGGTTGTGTCTTCGTGTTTGTTTGTGCCAGCGCCCGCATGCCTCTCTGCATCTGTTATCATTCTTAGAAAAGTATAGTGTTGCTATGATTTGCCCCATCTTGTGCTGGTTGTGGTTTGTGTCTGCAAGTTGCGTTGCGTCCGCGCTTGTGTGTGTGTGTGTGCGGCTGGGAGCGGGGAACAGCGGGTCAGCCCCCCTACCTTAAGGTGGAGGGGGTCGGGGGTCCCTCAATTCCATTTATCTAGTCTTCCCCCGAAAAGGGGAAATGGGACCATAAATGGAGATCTCCCGGTGCCGAAACCTCCCCTTCCCCAACTCAATTCACGGGGAAATTCCCCGCTGAACGGCGGCCGAAGGGCCACTGCCGCCGGAGGTCCCTCTGCAGCCTTGGCAGCACCTCATGATGAAGAGTCGCGGCACCCATGGCCCAGCCTCGGATAACTTGCTTGACGTTGGGGCAAAGGTTGACCTGGAGGCGGGTCTGGTTGGAAACCTCCACAACCCAAGGATGTGGCTTGGTTGACGTTGGAAGGGGTGCAAAAAACTAGGTTTTAGCAGTTGAGTGGTTGGATTTCCCACACTAGACCACAATAAGCAAAAATGCGAAACTTGTTTCCCAAGGACAACCTCGGAGGCCACTTCGCGGCCCTTGGAACATGGCACCCTTCCCCGGCTGTCCCGAGAGGAAGCGGCCGGGTTCTGACAGGTCGGACACCCGGTTGAAACTTGGTGGGACATCCCCCATGATGTAGAGGGACTCACTGGCTGAGTGGAGGGCCCAAAAAAAATCAGAACTTTTGTTTTTTACCACTAAAATGGTCTTCCCAAAAAGCTTAAAGTTCATGAACTCAGGAAGTGAGTGGTGCAGAGGGAGGGAGAGAGGTGTAAAGAGTCCCCAACCCGCGGATCTGGATGCCCTCCCGCCGCTGCAATGAGCCTTGGGTATGGAACGGAGCAGGGCATCTCCTGCTGCATTGCTGTATGCCTCCTGACCACGGCCATGCCGGCCCCAAAAAAATCCAACACCACGTTGAGCTCCCTGCATCCTTAGCCTGGTTGACTCGAAGGAAACCAAATCCGGTGACAGACGTCCAGCAGCATTGCATCCAATACATGGCTCAAATAAACAATATGGGTTTGACTCACTCTCAAAGTGGATTGGTGGAATCCAGGAAACATCCCACCACCAAATCGACATGACTTGAAGCGCCTTCTTGTTTTGAGGAACATTGCCATGTGGGCTCACCCCAGCTCTATGCTTTTCTATCTCGTCCAAGCGGCACAACTGCACCGCGTCCAGCAAGCCAAGGGGATGGTTTAGGCGATTCGCCGCGTCCAGCGCCGAGCTGAGAAAAGGCTGGGCACCAGAGCCCAGGTGAGCGCTGCACCTGCAGGTAGGGTGGCTGGTGATTTCTGGGCGATCGGGGAGATTGAATCTCCGTGCTTCGTAGTGGGATATCACTACAGCAAGGCGTCTGGCATAAGTAATACGGTTGTGGGATAGATGTTGAACCCAGCAACCCAGGCAACAGCTTCAGGCAGGGGCAAATCATAGCAGTTCCGTAAGTTGAGAACACGTTGTGCTGTACACTACAATTGTGAGAGCTTGCCATGTTTGAGTCCTGGAGTAAGTATTGAGACTCATGCAGGCCAATTGGCCAACTGTATCGACATCATTGACCTGGCTCCGCTGGCCGGGTGAACCGCCATCATTTGTTTTGTAGGATGTTCGTCAACTAGGAAAACCGACATCGTGGTGTTTGGAAGCTACTCTTTCCATCCCTATACTCTTCAAAGGGCCATTCCGTCAAAACAAACAATGAAATCCGCAAAACACACCACCTGCGATGAACGAAACCCCTATAAATCGTGGAGCAAACCACCTACCAACTGGTGTGGGATTTTGTCACGTATCACGCCTAGCATCTACGCCAATGTTCCACACCTACGCCTTGCATCTTGCAGGCGAGCGTAGGCAGCGCTGTAGAGGTGAGTGCGCTTCTTTATTGCGCCTTTCGGGTGACAACCTTACGCTTACTCCTTCTACGAAACATGCACGAGCGAAAGCTCGTTGTGTCCAAACCACGTAACAGCCACCTGCCGTGTTCAGTGGCAGTCGGCACGCAAAAGCGAGCGTGAACAGTAACTGCAGTGCTACGATGCAATGCATATCGGCCTGCCATCGGCTGCCGACATTTTCGAGCTTCATTCACGGCATGCCCCCTTTCTAGGACGGTTCGAGGATTGAAATCGCGGGGCATCAGGGCTGTCCGTTTGGGAGTGTCACATTGAGATTGGACAATAAGAGACTTTGGTTTTAAGGTGAGATAGCCGGCCACTCGACAGGTTGAGGAGCTGCATGCCATTGCAGTCCACACAATTATTGACACGATGCATGAATGAAGTATGGCAACCAACCAACCCCCCACAATTTGGTGAGGTCGCAAAAATATGTTGGCCCGCTGGAATCAAGCAACCCGGAGTTTTCCGGCATAGTTTCCCAGCTGAAGAAGCTGGTCTTCATGTCTTTTTTGTGGGTTTTGGATTTTGAAGAGAAACCAAAAGGACACCACCCACCCATTGTGTTGTTCCTGTAATTATTTGGGGGAAGGGTCCCCTAAAACGAGACACACCCACATGGAGGTCAGCAAGGGCTCTCCGAAAATAAGCCACGCGTCCTGCCAACGTGGTGCCAATTGACATTGGGCCTGCGAGCCTCAAAAACGAGCCATTCTAGGGGCTGATTCCCTGTCCATTCCTTTCAACCATCGTTCTCTTCGAAAACCAGCTGTTTCCCCTTGGATTCTGCTGGTTTTCTGAAAAGAAGGATCCCTGGAAAGAATGGGGAAGTGTCCCCTAGAGCCATGGTCCTCCGAACCTCGCGTTTTCAACGCCCCAAAAGACGCCATGCTGCCATGCGAGGCGCCAGGCCAACCTGCTGATCTGCGTGCTGTCCTTCTCCTGCAGCCTGGCCTACGCAGGACAGCATAGGGGGATGTTTTCAGGGGAATATGGGGAAACTCCCTTTGAACGGGCTGCCAATTTTCTATGAACTACTCGCCATGGGGCTCATTGCCTGGTTACTAGCTTCCCGCCATGACCAGTGTTTCAACCGTCTAACGGAAATCAACCAGTTGCACAGGTTGGTGAGTTGAGGGTTGGTGCACACTGGATGGGCCAAATGCTCTGAGTTGAGTGGACAATGGATGTTCGAGCCTTTGGTCCGTGATTGAAATTGTAAATCCGTTCACGTCCATTTGCTTGAGTCCAATGGAAAATGACAATATGTCCAGTGAGATTGTCCATTTAAAACCACCAGCTCAACATAAAAGCATTATTATAAAGCAAATGCAAGAAAAGAAGCCTGAAATCTGCCAACTCACCGGGGATTTGCGGCCGATGAGGCGCAAAGCGCCTCAGCTATCTCAGCTATCGCCTCTGTGCAGTGAGGCGATTCGGTTTCAAACAGGATCAGGTTGAGCCTCAAGACATCCCTGAAAAAATCATCGGGGCCCCGGGAAAACCGTGGAATCCTTACACAAACGGACCCCACATGATTCAGTTACCCTCCTACCTACATGTTTTGTTAAAGGAGGGCTCCATGTCCTATCCCGGTGTGTCAGTGCTCCTGGTAGAAGAAGAATCGGAATCCTTTTGGGGCACCATTTTTAGTGGGGAGGCCAAAGCAAACGCCTGCACAAGGGAATCCGCTGCACTGGCATACTAGCACAACCCCACAGACTATATGGACACTTAATCTAAGGCTGCAACTCCTGATTGCTTTTGTTTCTTGATCTTGAAAACAAAACAATTCTAGTCATAATCATAATTTCACATCTATGAATAAAACACAACACTGCCCCAAGCAAACAGGTTGCAAAGCTCGGCCCCCAGTATCCTGGCCACCTCCCCTTTTTGGTGGGTTGGAAAAAACAACCAAGAGGGACACCCACAATTTTTTGGGAGGTTTCCCCTTAAAACCACCCCCCCCCCCCACCCCCCCCACACCACATTGCCAGCCTCATTCCAGGAATATGCAACACAACCACTGCAAATCCTGGAGTCACACCGCTCGCAACGCTTATCATTGGACCCCCCCACTAATGTTAACCCCGGATTAACAAACCCCTGGTTGACTTTGATCGGGGGGTCCCCTTGTAGTGGGTTGGATTCCGACCACTTTTGGAGGGAACACTCCCCCCAAATGGGACAACATTACCCCTCCTCCCCTGGGTCAACATTACCCCTGGGTCAACATTACGCCCCTCCGCCCCTCCGCCCCGAGCGACCGTCGCGCCGTCGCGCCTCGCCGCCGCGCAGCGCCTTTCGCAGCGCCGCGCGGTCCGCGGCCCGGGCGAAGGCCCAGGCCGCCGCCGCCAGCGCCGCCGCCGGCAGCTCCGCGGCCAGGGCCGCCGCCTGGGCCGCCGCCTGCGGCCAGCGAGCGGTGGGCGTCTCAGGTGTCCCGGCAAACCGCCCCCCCCAAAATATACGTCGACACACAAAAAGCTGGGTTTGAACCACTCAAAAAGGGGTAGTCACACCACAAAACCACCATCTTGGTGGGTTTGAGCCACTCAAAAAAGAGTAGACACACCACAACACCCACGCAAAAAAGGCTTGACGAACCAAACAACCACCATTTTGGTGGGTTTTCTTTTGGTTTCCCCGGAGGAAAATAGTCGGCTCACCTTTTGTCCACTAAGATTTCCGCACATGTTATTATAATTCTAAAAGCCAGACTAAGCAAAGGACCTGTACCTCCAGCTCTAAAATAGCCAGAGACGCATGGTGAGCCATGTCGCCGTTTGCCGATGGCATGGACAAGTTCTCAATCCGCTTCACTTCCAGCTTTCCTCTAATTTGTTGTTTGGATTGGTAGTTTTAAACCAATTAGGGGTAAGATGATCAGACCCAGAAACTAATCACCTGAATACCTTTTCCCTTTGCAGCACAGCCCGCCTCTTGCCAGGCTGAATCCTGCAAGATGTTGGCCCCCGTGAGGCGCTGCCACCTGGACTTGGCCCAGCTGCCGCATTTGATACGAGCATGACTGCGCCCTCGAGATGCAATTTGCGGCCAAGCGGTCATAGCCCATGACAAAATGTCCACAACACCGACAACCGCGTGCCGCATGCTCATTCCAGCAAACTACTGCGTCTGCTCATGCAGCCTCGCCACTTTCACAGAGGAAGCCAACAAACCAAAGAAGATTCGAGGGTGCCGCCGAACTATTGGGGGCTTCTCAAAACTCCGAACGCTTCGCTTGGTTGGTCTTTTCCCCTTGAAACAATCCAAAAAGGGACCCGGTTTGGGTATGTGTCTAAATAGGGGAACACAAATTGCCGCTTTCCTCAAGTCAGTTGCACAAGGGACCCAGAAATCGAAGGCCAACCTTTTGGGGCCATGACTGAAGATTGACGAACAGCGGGAACCACAAGTACAAAAGGCCGGCTCTGGGCAAGTGAGCCAAAAGTACCTCAAAGAAGCCTTCACACGCCCATGTTTTTATACCCCGGTATGCTCAAAACTCGATAACTTTCTCGCTATACAAACCGCGGAAATGTCGAGGATGTCAGACTCATTTGTGTTTTTTTGTTGGAACCGGATCCCCCAAATGGTGGTTTTCCTTTTGGTCCCCCTCCAAAACCTCAAGCAAGAACGGGGTGCCCTCAAAAAAGCACACCTTTTTTCCACGGTTGTGGGTTAAAGAGACAATGGAACCCCTGGCCATGTGTTGCGTCAAGGAGAAACCAAATGGAAACCTTTGTCATGGGGTTCCGCTTCCTTCATCTGGACTGCCCTCAGATCCCCCACTACAAGTTTAACTTCTAGTGTGTCAAGTGGAAACTACCACTAAGCACCAAAAGCTAAAACGCTAAGGAACCGGATGGCTGGGAGCCACAAAGTCAAGCCAAACCCATTTCGTAGAACCCCCCCGCGCGACGCATCGATCGGATCGAGGGTCACCTGACCGCCGCAAGCAGCGACGCGGCCAACTTCTCGCTGCCGGCGCCATGGGCCGAGGCCAGGGCCTCGATCGATCGGTTTTCGCGAGTCCCGGGGCCCGAGGTTCGGTCTTGAGCCCTTCTTGTTTGCATCTAGTTTTTCCTTGGGGGGGCTTTAGCTTCTTTGATTCTTGCCGGATTTCTGTTCTTTTATTTATTCTTGAATGTTTGGGGTGGCCGGGCGGGGGGGGTGGCTTTTGCTTCCTCCTTCTTGTTTCCATCTGTTTTCGTTTGCGAGGTGGGGAGGGGGGCTGAGGTTCCGATATCCGTGCTCAGCCATTGGCCTCTTGAAATAAAACCACGTCTTCCATTTCGGGGTCTCTTCACAAGCCTCCACGTTACCCTGGAGGGTACCCGTGTTTTTTCGTTGTTGATGTTTTCTCCGTTTTTCTTCGACTCTTTCTGTGTTGCATCTGGTTTTTCTTTGGGAGGATGCTGTTTTATGTCGTGCTTCTTCTTTTTTCTTCTTTCGTGCTTCTGTTCTTAGGGGGAGCGCTGTTTTGGCGCGTTGTTTCTTTCTGTACTTCTTGTTTGGGGAGGGGTGTTTGTCCACTTTGGAAGCAACCCGAGCCGAATCATTGAAAACCCAGCTTGGTAAAGCAGCCTGCCAACAGATTTTTTTGGGCCGCACCTCGAGGACGGGCACTCCTACCCACCTCGTGGATTCGATTTGTATCGGTTGTATCTAGTGACCACGGCAACCCATGAAATACCTGAAGTCAATTGCCGGCTATCGCCCGAAGAGGAACCAAACTCAAAATGCAATTCGGGTGGAAGTACCCCCCCAGTTCCAGATGTAAGGGAGAGAAGATCCACAGGAAAGCTCTTCCTACTGAGATGCTCGAGTCGACCAGAAACCGATAGGGGAGAATGGAAAACCGTTTCGGCACGTTTGTACTTGCATGTTGCCCACAATGGTCTCCTGACTTCATGAGAGGATTGGCAACCAAACAACTCTGATTTTGTTATCTACCACTAAAATTGAGTCATAATCAAACCCTGGCATGCTTTAAATTATCTACCCAGAACCACGTCAGGCATTCGAGAGGCGGCCCATTTATCTTGGTTGACGTTGGAAGGGGAGCAAAAAATAAGTTTTAGCAGTGAAATGGTTGGATTTCAACCACTAAACCACCACAAGCAAGAATGTAAAAGTGCTTCCCAACAACAACCATGGAAAGCCGAACTTTTGGTGGACCATAGTCCAAACCCCAAAAGTGACTCAGCGTCCAGGAACGGAACTCAGGGAAGTGAGAACCCTGCAAACGGAATGCTTGGTCACTGGAAGCTGCAACCGAGCATGTTCATGAACCTTCTTGCACCCCAAAAAAAACAGGCTATAGGCAAGACAACGCAAGAGCATGCATGCACATGTGTACACACTATTCCCTAAACGCCAGGAAGTGCCGGCAACCCCGCATGTGCGCAACAAGCTATCGGCAAGGTGTCTAGTTCAGCGTACCACCAAACCACAAACGCAGTCCACTCACCGACCCTGCGTGCTGCACTATTTGTGGTGCGCGTGTAGGATGCTATGGGACACTGGGACACAGTCACAAAGAGCAACCCCCAAACTCATGTGCTTTACTTCCTTGTCCTTACCGAACTCTTGGTAGCTCCCAAAGCCTCCCTCTGGATCCCCGCTCTCCCCAGCTCCGGAACGCCCGTCCGGAACCTTGGCTAAGACTGTGCCAAACATGGAAAGCGGAATGGCTAAGACTGGACCAAACATGGAAAACCAAAAGGTCAAAAGGTCAGCTGGGACAAGTGAGTCTTCCCTTGAGAGTTCTCCCCCGCGCCTCAGCCACGCTGTTGCACTGCCGCAGGCGGTTTCTCGCGTTCGCCCGGCTGCGCATGCCATGGCGGGGGGAGAAACCCGTTCCCTGCGTCGATCAGGGGATTCCGAAGATCTTTTGGTGTCTTCCCGGGAATTCCGCTGCTGACTTTTTCCACGACTCCTTCAGTACATGTTGAAGGAGTGGACCTTGCTTGGTGGTCGTGTCTTCCCCAGGTTCCTGCTGTTTCTTGTTTTGATTCCAATGCCCTTTCAGTACCAAGCGCAAAGCCAAATCACGGCAAAAACCGACGTGTAAGCAGTGAAAACCGGCCCTGCGCCGGCCTCTCAGAGTCTGCATCCCAGCTTGCGGCGCTGATTTATCAAGTGAAATCGACCGCCGCGTGAGACTTCGAAGTCGGAAGTGTATTGAAAACTTTGCGCCAACGGCCCCAAGCCTTGCTCTGTTTAGGCCATTCGGCGTCTCTGAGAGCGAGCGCATGCCACTCCAGCCGTCAGCCAGGCTGAGAGCCAGCGTTGAAATTTCTGGCCGGAGTCTAAACTGGTATGTTTCTGGTTGGCGACCCTTTACGCCACGTACATGGGGAATGTCCACATACGAGTGGCCGCTTGGGCGGGCACAATGAAGCCCCGGCCGCCAGTTGCAGCTTTCTCTTCGTAGATACTTGCGTTAAAACCGACACAACAACTCAAGCAAACAAGGGCGCCCTGCTGTTGTTGGTTGAGGCTACAGAACCAACGGTCCAGAGCTCTTGATCTTGTCGATCTGCTCCATCATCGCTTCTCGCTCCCGGTCCCTCTCACCCTCCGCAGACGTGTAGCCCATGGGGTACTGCAAGCTGCCAGCACCGCCTCGTAAGCGATTTGCTTCAGCTTGCCTCCATTGGTGGTTGTTTGGTGGCTCGCTGGTGCCCAAGCAGGGTGTCCCCTTCACCATCTACAAATTCCAAGGGTTCTATTCCAAATCCAAACGAATCCACACCACCAACTAAGGGTTACCTGATTGCTTCCCCTACTCAGGGGCATTGGGAATCAGCGCGTCTCCTTGCATCTCCTTGCTTTTCGGAACTGCGGTTTTCCGCCCCCTCGCCCCTCCCAAATGAACCATGGACCACCAGCATTCTGCATGACCGAACCTATACAATGCGGGCTCGGAGAAACTTGACTTTTGTTGTTTTCAGCCGTAAATACTGTGGATGGACGAAATCCTGCTGGAAACCATGGGAAACCATTGGTTGGTATTTGCAGAGGAATCATCCTTCCAGGGTTTCCTAGGTGGTGCAGGATTTCGTCCATCCACAGTAGGTTGGAACCCCCACCTTCAAGGGTGAGCTCGATGGAGCCGAATTATGATTCAAAGTGCCAAAGAGGCAAACCCATGTTGAGCAACGCAGAGATCAAACAAGAGCTCCCCTTGCAAGAACTCTGGCATGCGATGATTCTTCTCTGCCCCTCCCAAAGAGGAAGCCCACTACGACTTCAAAGCTTGAGATAAAGAGATATTGCGCAGCATGCCGACCTTTCGTGCACTGAAAGCGCGCACATGAACTGGAACTTGATGTTCCGCTGACTTGCAGTCGGGCCTGGCGGTCCTCAAGTAGGACAAACCATGCAGAAGACCAGACCTCCCTTTACGCAGCCTGGTCACAGGTCGCGAAAGGATGCGTTAACCCACCCAGGCCACACCAAAAACAAGCTGCAAAACCCGGCTTGCCGTGCGGACCGCCATTTCTGCTGGCAGCTCCAAGGACTTTGTTGGGAATGAAATGACCACTGCGCCACTAAACAGGGCCTCCCAAGACTAACCCCCCCAACTAACGAGGGGATTCCCTTGTATTCGAGAAATGGTTGGATGAAGCTCTTGCTCCCAACACAACCCCTTCAGTTCCCCCTTCAGTTCCCCTTGGGCAAAAGAGTGCCGCTTTTCTTCCGGGGCGCTGATCATGCCCTTCATGAGCCCTTGGCTGTGCTCCGTCTGCTGCTTTCGCAGCAGCCGCGCCTTTGTCAGCTGCTGTCTCCTTGGGGCGGCAGTCGCGACTCCAAACGTCGGACCATCCCATGCCACACTTGGCCATGGGTCAAAATCCAAGCCGTACCCCCCAGTGAACATCCCAATCCGCGCTGAAACTGGTTCTAAAATGGGCGGTGAATTCACCCACCCCAAAATGGTAATTACCATTGGTTTTGAACCACAGCCACGTCTGAAGGTCGGTTCGTGCAGGTCGAGATTTTCCGCGTACCTTGGACCCTTAGGGCCCCAAGGTCTGGAAGGTAGAAGTCACCCGAGTGAGTGCCAGCCTTAGCCAAGCTTCGCTTCGCTGTTGCTTGGATCCTTGTCCTGAGCGGACGAAAGCGGACCAAAGGAAAAACATCTAACCCAGATCAAAGTAGAATCCCTGGTTGGTTGTCTGAGGGCGACTTTTCTTGGGGATTCATCATTTTGGAGGGAACACCCCTATGAAATCCGGTGTCAACACAATCGACACAATTCCGATAGAAGCAGCTGCGCAAGACTTGCCAAGCGAACCTGAAAGAGTTGCTTGGCTAGACCTGAAGAAGCAATTTCAAAACAAAAAACACATTGCCGAATAATCAGAAGCCTAAACCAACCATGCTCACCAGACTTAGGGGAAAATAATTTGAAAGCCGGGGGATGTCGCGTCTCTACCGGTGTTACCCCTTGGCTCCTTCCATTTGCCCAAGTCCTCTGAACAAAAAATCAGAGATACATCCGGTAGTCATAAATCCCCTTTAAAACCAACAGCTGCTGCCTAAGGGCGAAATACCCAACAAATTCGAAAGCTTCCGGTAGCGACAGATTCCCTTTACAACCGACAGCTGCCTAGGGGAAAACATACCTAACAGTTTTTTGAAAGCACATGGCCATGGGTCAAAACCTAAATCGTACCCCCAGTGAACATCCAAATCCGCACTAAAATGGGTGGTGCACCCACCCCAAAATGGGATCCCAAAACGGTTTTGACCACCACGGCATGGAGAAATCGGGTCGCTTCTTCCGTCGCAAACCCGTCCAGACCAAGCGGCGAGGACTTCTTGGAAGCCTCGGAGGGCCTTCTCCGCCTCGCCCAAGCCAAGCCACCTGGGCCATGCGGGCGTTTGAGGGGACCGCCTAGTTTCCAAAAAGAAAAAGCCAAACCCAGGGGGCCCCCTGAAGAAAAACACACACCCATGTAGTTTAAACCAATGTCGTTTGCAACTCCACAAAATGTCTATGTTTTCTTGGTTTTGTGGGGGGGAGGGGGGTTCTTGCTTTGTTCGAATTCCCTGGCAGGTATCCAGCGGCAAGCCCTAAGGCAGCCGGTTTCAAGCACAAGGCAGTGAGCATTCGGATGGCAACCGTTCCTGGCAAAACAGCTGTCAAGGCGAAAGCATAGGTGTAGTGTTGATCCCATACTACTCAACCTCGATTTATTGATAGGGAGGTGTCCCTGGGTTTAGTGGGGAATCATCACTTTTGGATGGGACCTCTCCCCTGACCATAAAACTGGGCGTTTCTCAGAGCCCCTGCTCACAAAGTTTAACTTTTAGTGGGTTAAATTGAAATCCCCACTAAACACTAAAAGGCTAAAAAATGGCTGGGAACCACCAAGCAAACTGGGGTTGATTTATATGGGGCCAACATTACTTTGCCAAGCAGCAGCCGCAGATGGAAAAGGCTTTTAAAAAACCGCGGGCCCGAAAGGGAAGCCTTGTTTAAAGCACGTATTCCCGGCCTGGGCTCAAAGGGCCAAGACATGCATGGCGTCAATCTCCGGTTCACCCACCTCTGCCTTTGCTGAGAACTCCACGTTCACCAAAAACAGGTTGACTTCATGGGCTTTAGGGCAAAATATGCAGATCAATTCCAGGCTCGAGACCGGACCGTCCAGTCCTTGGTCAGATCTCTGTTGCGCCTCTGCAGTGGTTTGACTTTATTCTATCGAGGCGCAACAAGCATGAGTTGTTTGTTTCTGAGAGTTTTAATAGTATGTTTTGGGATTACACCCTTGGGAAATGACCCAGAATGGTTCAAAATAACACGGTACAAGCACCCTTAGATTGTTGGTTCCGGCAAGATGACTTGGCAGTTCAACTGTCAGTTTGCTGTGATGCGAGTCCACTGATGGGCACTACCACTAGCCCCAGCCCAGGCGCGCTTGTGAATGCTTGCTTTAGCCTTCTAGGAGAGCAAAGGGGAGGAAGGGCAGCTGCCGGCTTGGTCTTCAGGTTGCTCCCGCCATATCGAGCAAGCAATGCCAACCTTTCCAAATGACAAGCACCCTCTAAGCATCCTCCACAAAAAAAAAAAAAAAAAAAAAAAAAAAAAAACAGGCGGCATCTCCAACAGCCCTGGAACCTCTGGAACCCTCCCTGGAAGATCCCCCAAACCACCCCAGCGCCGATCTGGGCCTTTCGACCCCTTTGCTTTCTCAGCTTCCCTCTAATTGGTGGTTTGGAGCCCGCTACCTTCCCATGTACCCTCTACCCGGAGTTCATATCCAAATCCAAACCGCTCCAAACCACCAACCTGCCGGGCTTAAATCGACCTTACGAATCACGGTTGAGTTGGTGCCCCTTCACGTCTCCGGAGAAAAAAGTACCAAGGAACCCAACGCCCCGAGCCGGCGCTCTCCATTGCGGCCCCGGGCGCGCCAGCGCGCGCCGGAAGAGCGCCTTCAGGTTGCCAGGGTCCGCACAGCTGCCGCCCCCTGCGAAGTGCTATGAGGCGCTCGTAAGCTGCCGCCCCCTCCGACCCGGTGGATGGGCCCAACAAAAAAACGCCGCCGCAAGCGGAGCTTTTGGTGCACCAGGTCCAGACCCCAAAAGTGGCTTCAAGTCCAGGAACGGAACTCAGAAAGCGAGAACCACAAATGGAATGCTTCGTCACTGGACCTCATGAACATTGAAACGTTCCCCGGCCCTTCGCTAGACAAAACCCAGAACGAGCTTGAAGCACGTGAGCGCGACAAGGCTATGGCAACCACCTAGGCCCCACAACCTCTACTTGAGCTACACAAGATGCACAGTATAACTCCCATCCGAACAACTACATTTGCCTTTTGAAGCAGCAAGAGCTAAGTGGAGCGCAAAAAATGCACCAAGTCGATTTATTGCAGCCGAATGAAAGCGACATCGGCAAAGCCTCCAGGTGCAAATTACCTATGAGCCTCGCACCCGCAACCCACAAGTGCAATGTAAGCTCACCTGCGCCATGACGGATCATGCCGTCCCAACAGGCATCCCGACGTTGACTTCAAGCACCCTAAGCCCTAAGAAGCTCTGGCCAAACATGAAAAGAGCAATTTGGGCAATACATGCTCAGCATTTGAATCGACGGCTTGCAAGATTTGAAATTATTGGTACGATGTTAAGGAAGTGGGCAAGCATAACCCCCAAGCCAGAGAGCCAGAACTGAAATTCTTAATGAGATATGAGACTTCGACCCTTTTTGGGAACCCCGCGCCGTCGCGGAGGTCGCAGATGCTTCCAACCCCTGGTGATGTCGCTATAATTGGCCCAGAGTGGCTGGCAAAGCAGGCGCGGAACGATCTCACAAAGCCTCAACGTTGGAGGTACGGATTCGCAGCCCGGCCTCCATTCAGGATCTCCTTGGCTGCACGCTATGGTCGAGGTCCCGGAACGCACAGCAGGCCATACAAAGTCTGCAAGCCGTAAAGGAAAGTCTAAGGTCAAGGCAGCGCGATTTGAACCCAACAAACAGCGATTGGCCTCTTGGTTTCCCCTTGGCACCAGCCTAAAACGGACCCCAAAGATGGCGATTGGCCACTTGGTTTCCCTTTACACCAGCCCAAAACGGGTACCACGACGTACCACGGGTGCCCTCAACAGGTCACACGCTCAACTTGTTTGCCATGCCGGCGAGGCGCGGTGCACAAATCCACGGCATACTGGAACTGCTCCAACTTGATCCAGGCCATCACCTCTTCCGGAAAGGCGCGCCCTCAAAGAATCAGCACTGGGGCTGGGGCCCCCAAAATTGGGGGGGGGGGGGGGGTTCCCCTTGATTTGCCTTCACACCTTCCCAAAAAGGGTAATTCTGTACTTGCATTCAACTAAAAAATAACCTGCACGTGTCCTTGAGTTGGGCCCCGCACCGCCCCGCCTCATTGGACTTGGATTGTTGCCGCAGGGCTTCTGCTTGACACCTCTCCTCCTGGGCGACGCGCACGCGCAGACGGCGATCCAAGTGCCTGCCATCCCGTTTTCGTCAAACAATTCGAGGCCTTCGCCAAAAAAAAGGCCGGCACTGAACCAGAGGTACCCATCACAGGCCTGAGTTGTAGGTGACCTTTGGAAAAATAGATGGGCCTGGTAAAAAATAGAATGACACCAATCAGCCTAAACCAGTGGCATCCATCTCTTTCTAACCAAACTAGCTGATGAAAAGGAACTATGGGCCTGAGCTGGCCTGCCAAGCATCTTCTGGCCAATCCTCGATGTAGCCAAAGTAGTCCTGCACTCGACGGTACCTGAATGTGGGAACGTTCCCAGGAATCCCCCTGGTCAGTTTGACTTATTCCACCGCCAAAGGCCTGAGCAAAGGGGCCCCCCCATGTTTCATCTCGCCGGGGATCCCAAGTGAGAAACCGCCAAGCTCCTCAGTATCACTTGGCCCCTTCTAATGCGGATCTGTATTTGTCCGGAGTGCAAGAGCGCATCTCCGTGGTCAATCTTGCCAACATTCCAGACACATGCTGCCCTTCGAACGCCGCGCCGTCAGTTGCGTGAAGCTCCCACCCGGATTTCAATTCAGCCTCTAGTTATCTCTAGTTGGTGGTTTGCATTGGTTTTTTGGTGATTAAGGAGGGATTTCCCACGGACCATCCACAAGAACCAGGAACTCACATCCCCAAACCGCCAATCCAAACCCCCAATTAAGGTACATGACAAACGTTGTTTGTTCAAATCCAAGCCCAGATCACCAGATCAAGCCACCAAAAGTAGGGGATTCCTGATCAATGATCCAAACGTTATATACCCAAAAATGCCCCTCACAGACTTCGACACATCGACCATGAAGTTCCCTCGAGACCGTGGCCTTGAAAGACAAAACACACCTTCCCCAGCCACCGCGATGAGGCTCATTTCAAGTTTGGCCCAAAGGTGATGTCTCCACCCACCCACCCACCCACCCGCCCGCCCGCCCGCCCGCCCTCCCACCCACCCACCCACCCACCAACCCACCCACCAACCCACCCACCAAAAACAACTAACATGAAAAAACAAACATCAATCATGCAGCGTTGGTTCAAGGGTGACGCCTTGTTCGGCGCCGTGGGCTTCACCATTCAACCGAAAGTAGAGCGTGGGTCGTCTGTCAGACGAAAGTTCTTTGCAAAAGTCAGAAAGACCAGCGGCAGCGAATATTTTTTTTCGACGAATCTTCCGCCTAGCGTTTAGCAGGCGGTGCGCAGTGCTGAGACCAAAAGCAACAGCATCAAAAACAAGAGGCCCCTCCCCCCTCTCAGTAGAGAAAAGACACCCGCAAAAACAAGAGGCCAACCCCCCCCCCCCGGCACAAGCACGCAAAAAGAACAAACGCCCCTCCCCCGCCCCCACAAAACAAAAGAGAACAAGCACGCAAAAAGAACACACACACACAGACGAAGAGAGGCCTTCGAACACTGACCAAAGCCCGCCAACCACACCACACGGCCGGAATGGCAGACATTGCTGCGGCCCCAGCCAAAGCAGAGGACTGGAAACTAAGGGACACTGGCTACCCACCGCCCGGTGGCAAAGCTTTGACCGACCTTTTAGAGGCGAGACGCAGCCAGCAGGCGCGCCGGAAGCTCTTGGCCTTCATCATCTCCGCGCCCCGCTGCTTCAGGCGCCCTCCGGAGTCCAGGCGCTGCGCTCTGCTGCTGCGCCAGTCCGGCGCACTGGCCGGGCGGACGGCAAAGCGGAAACGCCGGAAAAACGGAGCCTTGGGACCTATATACATAGCTAGCTTCCTGAGTGGGTTGGGCCGACAAAAAGTAACCAAACTTCTGATTTACCACTAGGATGGTCTTGCTAAAAACACTTGAAGTCCAGGAACTCAGGGAGTGAGAACGTTAATATAGTACAAGCCGTACTATGAGTATAACATTCCTGTCAGAATCAAACAGACAAAATAGGTGGTTCTATTCCAGGGTTCGATTTTTGTGACCTTAAACGTTCGGGACATCAACCCTAAGTTCAAGTCCACCAGGTAGTGACAACTGGAACCCTGATTGGTCACATGAGCCACGGTCCAAGTTACTTGTTTCTCCAAGAGGGCGTGGGAAAATAAGGGCTCGTCCCGTCCCTTCGTTTTTGTGTCAAAATACGCTTCCAAAAAAAGGGGTCCGGTCAGCTGCACTATGCTGCACTTGTGATGCTGCGGGGTTTCCAGAAACTGGAAGAGGCACCTGACCCACTCCCATAGGGCCAGTCTGAGTAGACCCTCCCCAAAAAAAGACAACAAACACACACACACACACAGACACACACACACAGACACACACACACACAGACACACAGACACACAAACACACACACACACATGTTGCTATGCGCGTCCATTACTGTTGTCTGTTGTTTTTGTGTGTGTGTGTGTGTGTGTTTTTGTGTGTGGTGTGTGTGGTGTGTGTGGCGTGTGTGGTGTGTGTGGTGTGTGTGTGTGTGGTGTGTGTGGTGTGTGTGTGTGTGGTGTGTGTGGTGTGTGTTGTGTGTTTTGTGTGTGTGTGTGCAGTGGGTGTAGTGTGTATGGTGTGTGTGTGCTGTGTGTGGTGTGTGTGGTGTGTGTGGTGTGTGTGGTGTGTGCGCTGTGTGTGGTGTGTGGGTGTGCTGTGTGTGCTGTGTGTGCTTTGTGTGCTGTGTGTGGTGTGTGTGGTGTGGGTGTGTGTGGTGTGTGTGGTGTGTGTGTGTGGTGTGTGTGGTGTGTGTGCTGTGTGTGGTGTGTGTGTGTGCTGTGTGTGGTGTGTGTGTGTGGTGTGTGTGGTGTGTGTGTGTGGTGTGTGGTTTGTGTTTTTTTTGGTGTGTGTGTGTGTGTGGTGTGTGTGTGTGTGCTGTGTGTGGTGTGTGTGGTGTGTGTGTGTGTGGTGTGTGTGGTGTGTGTGTGTGCTGTGTGTGGTGTGTGTGGTGTGTGGTGTGTGTGGTGTGTGTGGTGTGTGTGTGTGCTGTGTGTGGTGTGTGTGCTGTGTGCTGTGTGTGGTGTGTGTGTGTGTGCTGTGTGCGCTGTGTGTGGTGTGTGTGGTGCGTGTGTGTGTGGTGTGTGTGTGTGGGGTGTGTGGTGTGTGTGGTGTGTGTGGTGTGTGTGCTGTGTGTGGTGTGTGTGGTGTGTGTGGTGTGTGTGGTGTGTCTGGTGTGTCTGGTGTGTGTGGTGTGTGTGGTGTGTGTGGTGTGTGTGGTGTGTGTGTGTGGTGTGTGTGTGTGTGTGGTGTGTGTGTTTGGTGTGTGTGTGTGGTGTGTGTGGTGTGTGTGTGTGTGGTGTGTGTGGTGTGTGTGGTGTGTGTGGTGTGTGTGGTGTGTGTGGTGTGTGTGGTGTGTGTGGTGTGTGTGTGCTGCGTGTGCTGTGTGTGGTGTGTGGTGTGTGTGGTGTGTGTGGTGTGTGTGGTGTGTGTGTGTGTGCTGTGTGTGTGTGTGCTGTGTGTGCTGTGTGTGGTGTGTGTGCTGTGTGTGTGGTGTGTGTGGTGTGTGTGTGTGGTGTGTGTGGTGTGTGTGGTGTGTGTGGTCTGTGTGCTGTGTGTGGTGTGTGTGGTGTGTGTGTGGTGTGTGTGCTGTGTGTGTGCTGTGTGTGCTGTGTGTGTGCTGTGTGTGGTGGGTGTGGTGTGTGTGTGGTGTGTGTGTGTGTGGTGTGTGCTGTGTGTGGTGTGTGTGTGCTGTGTGTGCTGTGTGTGGTGTGTGTGCTGTGTGTGCTGTGTGTGTGTGTGGTGTGTGTGGTGTGTGTGTGGTGTGTGTGTGGTGTGTGTGGTGTGTGTGGTGTGTGTGGTGTGTGTGTGTGGTGTGTGTGGTGTGTGTGTGTGTGGTGTGTGTGGTGTGTGTGGTGTGTGTGGTGTGTGTGGTGTGTGTAGTTGTGTGGTGTGTGTGGTGTGTGTGTCGTGTGTGTGGTGTGTGTGCTGTGTGTGGTGTGTGTGGTGTGTGTGTGTGGTGTGTGTGGTGTGTGTGTGTGTGTGGTGTGTGTGGTGTGTGTGTGTGTGGTGTGTGTGGTGTGTGTGGTGTGTGTGGTGTGTGTGGCGTGTGTGTGGTGTGTGTGGTGTGTGTGCTGTGTGCTGTGTGTGGTGTGTGTGTGCTGGGTGTGCTGTGTGCGGTGTGTGTGCTGTGTGTGGTGTGTGTGTGTGTGTGTGTGTGGTGTGTGTGTGTGGTGTGTGTGGTGTGTGTGTGTGCTGTGTGTGGTGTGTGTGCTGTGTGTGGTGTGTGTGTGGTGTGTGTGTGTGGTGTGTGTGGTGTGTGTGGTGTGTGTGTGAATAATAATACTAATACTAATAGTAATCATCATAATAATAATAAGAATACGTAATCATGATGAAGAAAAAAATCGCGCCTCTGGAAGGCGACGAGCTCTACGGTGCAGTGTGGGCCCAGCTGCAGCTCGTCCTGCCACATGTTTTCGTCCTCGGACGCCACCTGGCACCTGCGAACTCGCCGGGTTCGGACCGCCGTGTCTGAGGCGTGGGAGTTCTTCTGGGGAAAAATCTGGGGCGCGTGGTGGGAGAAGGAAGAGAGGGATGAGAAGTGGGAGGGACGGGGGAAGGGGAGGTATGGGGGAAGCGGGGATGGGGGAAGAGCTATGGTGAGGCGTCCCTGAGAAAAATATGGGGCGCGCGCTAGACTGAGAAGTGGGAGGGGGAAGGGGTAGGGACGGAAGGGACCCTCACGCAAGGCCCCTCCAAGTGCCACATGCCAGTTGCCACACCCTAAACCCTAATCCAAGTCACGAGCGCCCAAGGATAAATTTCGCAAACACTGAAGACCACTTGCCCCAGCTAGAAATAAGCAGTACCAGCTGCGCTTCCTTGTGCTTCTCAATGTGCCAGAGGGAATCTAGGCTTGAACTGCCAGTGTGGTGGTACTTCTGCCTTCAAGCTGGATGTGTATGAGCCCTCAGGAAGGAATGGAATCAGGTGCGGATCGGTCTGAACAAATTGCTTTGTGAGGGTTGTCCAACTTCAGTCTTCATCCACAAAACCTGAACTAAGGAGTCCCTCAAAAGCCTCAATCAGGCAGATCCCTTTTAGGACCCGCCCAAAAAGTATCACGCGACGTTTGAGGGTTCCAACAGGGGCGCAGATGTTGAGAGCCCATGCACCTAGCCAGCCAACTTCCCCACTGGCCAAACTGGGCTGGTCTCCTTGTGGCGAATTCCACTGAGATTGGGTTCTTCAGACAGATCTGAAGCTTAGTGGGGCACTGCTACAACAAAACAAGCCACTGCCATCTGGCATAAGGATGAAGGGACCCTCCCCCCCCCCCCGCCCCCCCAAACGTGAATCCTGGGTGGGCGTTGCTCTCTTCTGACCGGGCCAGCCCTCGAAATGCCCCGCCGGTTTCTTTCGCCTGGCGCCGAGCGCCATGTTCAGCACGGCAGACTCCACCGCCTCGCAGCGCTTGGAATCCTCCAGGAGGGTCCAGGTCACCAACTGACCTGCCAGCCAACTCCAGTCGCGCTGGTCGATTTTCGGCCCCTAAAAACCCAGAACGAACCATTCCAGGGGTCCTTTGTTGACTCAGTTCCCACTACAGGGCTCAGAAATGAAAGCCTGATCCTCCAGCCACGGAGAGCAAGGCTCGAAACCACGCAAAAACAGGTCTTGCTCAGAGATCACAGTGTCTTGGATTCTCAGCTGCAACTGGCGCTGGGAACCTACGATCCATGAAGCCCTCCTCCACGGAAACGTTTGGGCCAGTTTGCGTCCAATTGTCGCAGAACTATCTAACCCATTTGACTCGCAAATCCTTGCTCTACATTTGGAGAGGCCAAGAAGCGCGGCAAATCACCAGCTCTTCAATGCAGGGCAAATTGCTGCAGCCGGATTTCTCCAAATCAAAGGTTGGTCAACTGGATCCATTTGTCAACTGCCACTTTTTGCAGGTGCCAACAAGGGACGTGGAGGACACCAAGGGGAAACCCTGTACCATAGCCTCCAAAAACAAGAGTATGTAGATTCACTTAATCCCGTGAGGGACCTTCATGAGCTCACGTGAGCCCCCCGCCGCATGGGGTGGGGTTGTGGAACATCCTTGTGAGTTCAAAGCAGGCCTCACTGTCAGGAGAGTTACCTTGGACATGTGACACAGAAATTGGTCCTAAAGCCCGATCCGATAGTTGGCGAACTCAAAAATGAAAAAAAAAACATACAGATTTTTGTTTGTTTGTTTGAGGGTACCAAGGCACAAAGGACAACCATCAGTTTGGTGGCTCCCACAACCCCCCCCCCCCCCTCCCCAAAGTCATTTTCGTCCACCCGCAACCACCCAGCCACCTACAACCCCAGCCGGCCCAGCCCCCGGCGCCGTCCAGGCGGGCAGTGACCTCTGCGAGCTCTGCGGGCGCGTCGCCCTTGCCCTCCTCGAGGCTCCAGGCGAGCTCATGCGCTGGGCGGTCACAACCATGGACTCACTTGCTGGATGGCCCAAAAAAAAGTAACCAAACTGTTTATTTACCACTAAAATGGTCTTCCCGAAAAGTGACTAAAGTTCATGAACTCAGGAAGTGAGAGGACCTCTTTTCGGACTTGTGTTTTGTTGCCTCTTTTCTTTAATATAAAGGGCGGGGCCCACATTTTACCCATGGCCCAAGTTGCTTTTCTCATTTTTGTCAAAACCCCATGTATAAATTCTTTTCGGACTCCTTTGTTTAAAAGAAACATGGGCGGGACCCGGGACCCACATGAAGATTATTAATGGCCCAAAAAGGGGATTCTCCTTTTTGGCAACTCCCCCACGTGTGGATTCCCAACTTCTGTTTAGCCCTGTGACTTCCAGTATCCAGCTCAAGACTTTCCGCCGACTCGATGCAAAAAAAATCCTCGAGCGCTTCCGTTGCGACCTGCCGTTGTTAAAATGTGAAAGGGATGCAACCCATCGAGTCTCGATGTTTCGACACTGAAGCCCGCTTTTCCCACATAAAGGGGGATGTTTTCCCAAAAGTATTGCAGAAGGTACTTTGCTGCTTTCTGCTCCCCTGCCAAAAGTTTTCAACTCTTAGCGTCTTTGTTTTCTTTTTTGGGGGGAAACACATTAGTTGGCAAATAGTCCCAACATCCCTTGGCAAAATTCATCAAAGACCCAGAAGTTTCAATGTGTTGACACTGAAGCCCGCTCTTCTTGCCAGTGCGATCGGTAGAGAAGACCCTTCCGGGTGTTGGGAATGAACCGGAAGGGGATCCCCGAGCGGAAACCACGCGCGTCCGTCAGGTCTTGGGCTGCGGGCGTCAAGGTGAAGATCTCGAGCTGTCCCTTTCAAACTGGCCGACCAGAGGCTGGAATTCTGGGTCTTCAGCTGAGGTCGGGAAAAGAAACAACTCATCCCATCTTGGTGCCCCACTTTTACCAATAACTTTGATAAACATGAAAAACAAATAAACAAATAAATAAGATCACAAAACATAACAATAATAATAAAATAACTTGATAATAAATCATAATAAGCCATAGCCATTTAACAAATAGTCGGCACCCCCTGTCCTCCAGCTGCTTCTTGGTGACCCGCGGGAAATTCGGCTCCCCAGCCCAGTCCTGCGGATCTGGGGATATCTGGGGCCCCGGAAACGGCAGCTGGGGACCCAGCAAACGAAAACCGGTTTCTTTACAACCCTTGGCAAGGCTTGCAAAGAAGAACAGTAAGGTTGATTCCATATGAGTCAACCCCAGCCTTTTGTTTGGGGGGGGGGGGGTAGGGGCCCCTCCAAAAGTGAGGATTCCACCCTAAACCCGGAAAACAACAACCCCCTATTAATAAACTGGGGCTGATTAATGTGAGGTCAACATTACAAACATAAACATGCACATAACCAACAAAAACACCCAAACAATCTGGGTTCTAGGCGCTCCGATGCAAGCTCTGCAAAACGCCTGGCTACGTTGACTGGAGGCTTCCGCACTCCGCGCTAGAGCCATGGCCTGCTGCAAGGCCGCCGATTTCAAACAGTTCAAGTAGGTGGTTCATGATCAGATCGGCCATGTGCTTGAGGCACCCCAACCCCCCCCCAAAAAAAAAAACATCCCAAGACGTCCCATTGCGACACTTCCACTTATGGGGGGCTAGCCCCTACTCTCGAACAAAAACCCATCGCCTCCGCCCTGGCATGCTATGAGCTGTTTTCTTGCGGCTTGGTTGGCAAAAAGCAGCCCCTGGTGCGGTCCTTGAGGAGGCCGCACTCTTCAACCACGAGCAAGTCCAATAGCTCCAGGTCTAGGAGGATCGTGGCACCCTCGCAAAAAAAAAAGAAAGAAGCACAGGTTGAAGCGGCACTTGATGCCAGAAACTCCTTCTCACCGTGGTCTTCACTAAGACAACCTTGACGACATGTCCTCCGTGCGAGTTGCCTGCCCTCCGCGTTGCACATGTTCAAGATTGGCACAGGACCGTCCATATTTTCGACTCTGCAACTGCGTGGTTTCGGCTCCCCAAACCACGAGTTTAGGAACCACACTCTGACAAAGACTTCTCGCAGAGCGAGCCTCTGGCACCTTGCCATCAAACGCTGAGCTCTGCCCGTACGCGTGCGGCTGAAGCGTGAAGACCGCTCGCTCCTCCGGAGCAAATGGCGCACGGCAGGCGGGAAAGCCGAGCCATAAGGAAGCCATCGCAGCCAGATAGCGACTACTACAAACAAAAACTACAGGCCAGTGATGCAAGGGCCTTTGAAGGCTTTTCAGACCTTGTGAGCCTCATTGCCTTTGCTACAGCCATGAATCAGTATTGGCTCCGCTGACCCGAGCATATGCAGGAAGAAAGAAGGCAAGGGAGCCTGCTGTCACTGCCTTCGTGCGGCGCAGCTAAGCGTCCAAATCGTCCAAATGCGGTTTTTGTTTTTCCATGTCGGGTGGATGCAAATACTGCCCAAATGTGTTTAAATCAACATTTTGGGATTCATGGAGATTGTGTTCGGCACATAGTTTGTGTTCTTCCAAAATCATGATTGGTGTGCGAGATTGTTTGATCTCCGGTCCTGTTCTTCATGGAGATTGTGTTTGCGGAGATGTTTGCTCGGCTCCTTCTGCCGCATGCTGCCCAGCAGCAGCTCCCAGCTCCGACTCGGCAGCGCCAGAAGGCACTGCCCCGGCGCCAGCTCCACCTCCCCCGAGCTGAATTCAGAGCCGCCCGAGTCACCGGTGCCTGAGTGGTCGAAGAGGGGGGTGTTTCTTTCTTGGCCCGTTGCATTGTTGTTGTTTTTTTGGTTGTTTTTGTTGTGGCGGTGCATCCAGACGTCTAGGAAGAATGTGTTCTTCCGTCCCCTGGTACGGGTTGCATACATTGACAAATAGCATGTCCCTTGTGTCACTTATGTTTGGTATCGTGCCGGGCGTCTTTGCGTCCTCGTGCAATGCTTGAGGTCAACCATAACATACCACCTCAACTGGTGACTTGGATTGGTGGCCTGGTGGCTGGTGGTTTCCTATGTGCCCTCTGCAGCCAGCCGGCGTCCATAAAATCCAAACCAGCAGTTGCCATCCACGCCTTTCCCCCGGCAAAAGGAAGATTTATCCCCGCCTTCCGTTCGCGCCGTATAGCGCAGCAGCGCTGCAAAGCTCCGGTGTCCCCTCTTCCCCTGCCCAGCGCGCAGCGTCACCTGGAGGCGGCACAAAGGCAAAGGAAAAATCGCTCGGGTCTGCAAGAATCAAGCGCCGACATGAAGAATCAATTCCCCGCACAAACTGGGGGAGCTACAGCCAGTGGAAACATGGAACTCGACAATCCGGAATGCTTCGCCAGGCGTCAGCTGTGTCAATTGTCAAGACCTGCAAGTGGCAAACGCCAAGTTTGTGCCGATGGCAGCGTTTAAGGGGCATGCCGTAACAGCAGCATGCTCACAGCAGCACTCCGTCAAATCAACCCGACGCCAGGGCGCCCTATTTGTTTCAAGCAACAAGGCCCAAACATCAACATACAAGCATGCCAAGCTTGCCAAATAGAAAAAAAACTACTTGGCGGTTTGGGCCTACATCTGGGAGTACTCTCAAAAAAATGTGTTCTGACTCTGTTCATATTTTGTCCACCCACAGGAAGGAAACTGTGGATGGACGAAATCCTGCACGACCTAAGATACCCAGGTATGATTCGATTCCCCTAAAGATACAAATCACTGCTGGTTGCAACCCTGGTTTCATTCACCTTGGTGCTTGAACGAATTTCGCAACCAGCCACAGAAGCTGAACATCGACTGCATAGTCTACGCACAGTATGAAAAGAAAGGAGACGCCTCAAGAAAACAACCAACGATCAGTCAGTACAGGGACGCCGGGTACCTCAAAAAAAACAAGCGACTACCACAAACACCAATGGAGTGGACATTTTTGAGGCCCACGAGCGCGCGCGTGGCGCGCCACGCCGCCACGCGCCCGAGTCGCCTTGCTGATGCCCTCCGCGAGCAGCTCGTGTTTTCGCTCCCAGGCGGCTAAGGTCACCTCGAAGCTCAGCGTCGCCTGGAGTGCGAGTGCAGGCGACGCAGAGCTTCGGTCCGGTCGGTGGGTTTGACATCCAACGCAAACATAGAACCTGAGAAAGGCGGTCCTTTCAGAAGGAACATGGTTTTCCAGGAACCCCTGTAGAGGTGCGATGCTTGTTTTTTTTGGGGGGTTAGATTGAATTGATTGTTTTTAACCCCCCCAAAGCACCATGGGGACCTTCAAGAGCCTTCCAGAGATCCCTGAAAGGGGTTTTGACCTCAAACCGGCCATGGAAATCGGAAGCCACATGGGCGAGGTCGCCGAAAAGAACTGTGGATGGTTGCAAAATCCTCCATTCGCACCACGGTTCATGAAACCTTGGGAATGAAGATTTGCTTGCATTTACAGGGGGGTCGAATCAAAACCGTGGGGATTCGCAACCAGCCACAGTACGATCATCTCACAGTCCTCGCACGAGGGAGTCCTGCCTGAGGCGGGATCTTGCCTGGCACGCCCTCTTCTCCATAAGCGAACTCCGGGCTGAGCGTGAGCCGGGCATGCTCCTCAGTGCGCGAAGCGGTGCAAAAGACTTGTCAAACAGTGTGCCAAACTTGGAAAGGCCTACTTGAACTGCTGGCCCCACCCTAAGCAATCAGCAAAGGCGGCTGTAACCTTTCCAGCTGAAACTAGTTGGTTGTGAATTTCACCATGTGGCGCAACGATGTGCGAGAAAGGCTGAGCGCCATCATGCTCAACACAAAACTAAATTGGCTTGATGGATAGAACAAGACGTTAACATGGCATGACATGATATGATACATGAATGACACATGTATGGTGATACAAAGAAACGTTTCTTTCGTTATATAGTTCAAGCCCAGGCCCTCCCACCCAAGAACCTTCGGCCTCAGAAGCTTCGCAGTCATCTCATTCTGCGGGGCTCGGGTTCAACTCAATCCGAGATGGACTGATGGGCTGCCATTCTGGGCTGGTTGGCTGGTTCTCGATGACCATGAGCCATCCCCATTTAGCCCTGTTGAGATCCACAATGCTGACCCCGGATGAAGAGGTGCTCTGCCATCCAGAAGTGGTCTGAACCTCCACTAAGAGGAATTGAACCACCCATCTCTCAAAACAAACAACCAGGGGCCAGGGGGTTCTGCTTATAGATCTTGGGCCACACCCCGCAACTGGCCCAGGGTGTCCTTTTAGCTTTCCTTTAAGAAGGCTCCCAGAAAAACCTTGAACTTAGCCGTTCCGCCGCTCGCTCCAAACAAAACACTTAAAAAAACACTTGGCGCTCGCCTCATGGCGCTTCCCCGGGCCAAGCTCCCGGCGCCCTTGGCCATGGTCGCCAGGCCCAGGTCCAAACCTTTGTTCACCTGCCCAATCGCAGCCGAGCGAGCCATCCAACCAGCCGAGCGAGCCATCCCGGGCTGGGGTTTAGGGTGCGGGGGTGGGGCCCGCGCGAAAAACCTAGCGCTGGGGTTTTGGGGCTGGGGTTGGGGGAGGAGGGGGGGGCCAAACTTACGTAGGTGGGCTATAACTAACAATTACAAGGCGACGAACGGACTAACCCCAGGTGCCTGGGTTAAACAATTCGAAACTTACTAAGTTGGTTGAAAACCTAAGTGGCTGGATGCTAATGGAACCCCGGATCTTCTTCATGGGGGAGAAAAGGCCACTTTCGACTGTTGGCTGAAACTCGCTCCGTCCCACCTCACCCTGGCCCAGCTTGAAGTGAAAGTCCTCGCTGCGGTGGAACTCCTTGCCTCGGCCAAAGCTTCTCCCACTTGACCCCGGATCTAAGTCCCCGTCCTATCAAAAGGGGGGTGTTCAACTGAAGGGGTGTGAACCCCCACTACAAGGAATTGGACACCCCCCCCGTCAAAATCAACCAGGGGTTCTACTTGGATACGGGGTTCTCATTAGCCCCTTTGAACTTGCGAACTCGGCATCCTTCAGCCAGAGCAAGCAAAGCAGTGGATTTCGCTGAAGCGAAGCCGTGAAGCGATTGAGGACCACAGTGTGTAAAAGCATAGGTGACTTGGCTAGGGGCCGAAGCAGGGAGAAACAATCACCAAAGCACAGCGTTTAGGAAGCAAGAACGACACGGAGCAACCATTTCTGACCAACAAAGTTGAATCAAATCAAATCTAAGGCAGCGGCTGGCAGTTTTGCCATGCGCGTTTAAATACTGTTGTTCACATTTGGTTCAAGCATCTTAGCCATTGTCGTTTCCTGAGCGGTCCGTCGTTTGCCATGCTACATCCCGCGCTGTATGATTATCTATGAGGTTACTTGCGTCAAATGTCCCGAACTGAGGGCATGGTGGTCCCTGCTGGAAAGCTGAATTCTGCGCATGTATAGTGGCGCCCAAGCTTGCAATCACAGGCATTCAAAGCCCCACTTCGCAGCCCCAGCTCCTTATGTAAGCTCCTCAGGTCGCACGAGTGGCGATGACAATCAAGGCAGCACAACGCCTACTTATTTTTTGTCATGCTGCGCCTGGTCTGCACAGGTCCGCTAAACAAAACTCCCCCTTGTCTTGCTACATGCAGTCGTGATCATAAGTCAAGCAAAATTTGGGTGCTGTAGATTCCCGAGCAAAAAGTTTAACTTTTTGCTGCTTGAAAGGAAATATGAGGGGAATCCAAACATGTAAAGTCTAAAGATCCAACCCAATAGCAGTAGAGAAAAAAATCGCAGACTCCAAGACGAGGTGTCAGAAACCCCCTCGTGCCCTCCCATGTGGCCTCTCCATGCTTGCGGCAAGCGCTTCCTCCAAGCGGCCATCTGGAAGGAAGCCCTTGAAGGCAATCTGCAGCTCATCCCCCGCCCGGGGCCGTTCTACGCCAGTGCCAGGCTCCAGGATCTCCTTGAGAACGCCCTCTGGGAGCTCCTCCAAGATGTCACACGCCATGACTCCTGACAAGTGGCTGACCTGTCAACAGGCCTTCAGTGTGTTTCTAGTTGAGAAAACAACACAAGAAGCCAAAGCCTGGAAGAACCTGGCAAGCACGCACAGAGATCCTTGACTAAGACTGATTGTTTTTGTGTTTTCATGATTGGTGCCTTGACGGCTGAGTGACCTCTGTTTGCGTAGAAGCCAAGTAAAACGAAGTGAGCATCTCGGCCATTGCCTCGAGTCCAAATGGGCGAAAAGAACAGCCGCAAGGCTGAGACGTGGTCAATGAAATGAACGCCGATCAGTACATTCTAATGAGGCACACCTCCCCACTCTGACGGGCTATTGCAAGTTTCCAGTAGGTCATGCTAAAATAAGCAAGGAACGTCTGCATCTACGTCCAAACCAAACGCAAGCGTGTCAGGCACCGCCCGTGCACCCCCAATGCCCCACCCCACTTCCGTACAATCAAAACAAGTCTGAACTTTTATTACCACTAACCCCTCCCCAAGTTTAAATTCCATGAAATCAGCCAGAGAGAATAACCTGCCCCTGAGTGGGAAATACCAATCGCACGCGACCCCCAATTCCATCTGACCCAGCTGCTCAGTTGCTGGTACGACCGCTAGCGACCGTCTTTGAATTTCTGGCTGGGAACGTGGCTACAAATCCCAATGTACATGATGCTTCACCCCTGGGTCACCTACTGTGGATGGTTGCGAATTTCCATTTCGCACCACTTTGAAACAATGGTTGAAACCATAAGGTTCGTTGGTATGTGCAGGGGTATCATCATTCCAGGGTATAGGTGGTGGGAAATGGATTTCATTTCGGCCATTCACAGTATCAAATCAAAAACCACGTGAAGTCATTGGTGCTTGCGTGTCGGCTTTGAAACCTAGGCCCAGGCTGTTTGGCTAAACCCGCATGAGCGTCTTTTGTTGACAATCCAGGTCGTGCCAACGCTAACCGGTTGCTAAGAAGCTTCCATGCAAACAAATGCCCCCGTCATGCTTGTCAGCCTATCCCCATCAGCCTCCCCATTCGGTTCCTCTCCTGCGCTGAGTCCAGTCCGCCATTGGGCCGAGCAAGGCTTCGCTTGGGGAGGGTATGATGGACATTCAGGCCATTTGCTTCTGGCAAATTAGGGTGTTGTAATCGCATGAGCTTGTGCGCACGTTCCATGCAGCATGCAAAATGTCGTCTGCCATCTGAAAGTGGCTGGTGTGCTGATTCAACCCCCTGCCTGCATACTGACAGATGGACTCTATGCATCCCGTCATCTCGGGGTGAATGTTTTGGGGCGTCTACGAGTGCAAAATGTTGAGAGCAGCTTGGCAAGTTTTGGAAATGCATGGGTAAGCCCAACCAAACCCGACCTCATGTTGTCACTGGCTCGCTGTTCTCTGATACTGATTGCTCGAAGGCTAGGCATAACCTGAAAGACAAAACCCATGCGAAACACCACTTAAGGCACCCTCTCGGCGCCAACAAAAGCTCCAAGGGATATGTTCAGATTCCGGCCCAGCGACCAGGGGCATCAACACAGTATATATATATATATACATATATGTATATGCCATAAATAGTATGCATATATATATATACACATAGACCAAGACATCTTGATGTTCATGCTGATGTCATACATCCAAACTGACCCCTTCTACCTCAGCCAGGAAACAATCAAATCAGCGCTGGGAGCAGCTCACCGCCTGCCGAGCTGTGTCGATTCTTGTCGGCAAAGGCCCACCTCTCCAAAGCGATCCCCCCAACCTTCTGAGGAGGGGGGTGGAGGGGTCCGCAAGTCCTTTGGCCCATTTGTCTAGTCTTCTCACCAAAACGCCCCCCCCAAAAAAAACACAGAACATGGAACCTCAAATGGATTTCCAGTGGCTACCCCCACCTCCCCCAATTCCATTTGTGAGTGGGTGGGGATCCAAAGCAAAGGTAAGAAAGAAACAAACGAATTGCCGACTGCCATTTTGCGATTTTAAAGGTCAGAAAGAAAGGCTCGCAAACCGATTCCGAGAACGTTGGGAGTAGGCAGGCGGGTCGTATTCTCTTCCCTGCCATTGCCCAGAAAACTTAGCTAACATACTCTACAGCTACCATACTCCAAAAACATGCCTAAAAACTGTTGGTGCTTAACCTTCCCTCCTTTGATCATGCCTCCTTCCTCAATCCAATTCGGGGTTCAGCCCTCCTCAAACTTCCCAGCCCGTCCGGATTCTGTAGCGGCCCTTACCTCCACAAAATCGAACCCTTGCCGAGACGATTCTCTGTGCGAATGCGAATGCCCGGAAAGCAATGAGCCACTTTCTTGGTTGCTGGCGAGACCCCCCTGAAGTTTTTTACTTTTGGGGGGTTTAGTGGACAACCCAACTTGATTCCCAAAAAGTTAAAGTCTAAAGGTCCAACCCAAAAGCAGTTAAGCTTCCACCCCACAAATTGAGCTGCTGCCTGGGAAACCAGCTGCCAGGAAGTGCGCAGCGCCTCCGCGAGAAGTGCTGAACGAAAAGTTACCCAGCCCTGACGGGCACGCAGGAACGCATGAACGCATGCACTTGTGGGAAGGGGCAGAGAATGGACCTCGAACGTGTGCCGGAAAGCTCCATGCTTCATGTAGCCAACAAGCAGCCTCGCGGTTGCACATCAACCGCTGAGCGATGTGACTGATATGGCATCCCAACACATTCGGCGAAGCCTCCAGGACTGTTCAAAGGCGTTCTTCCTAGGAACACCTCGCACGTTGTGCCAGTTGTCCACTGACCCTGGCAGAAAAAGGGCTCCTTCAAAAGGCCCACCAAACAACAATACATCATGCATATGCCAGGGTTTGAGTCAAATCTCTCCAGATCTGTTCAGCCTTCAGTCTGCGTGAAAGGCTGCCGGCTGGCGCGGCGTGTCAATGTTTTGGAAGCCACCGTGGATGTGGGTGGCTAATTCAGCGGAATTGTTGTTGCATGCGATGTCCCACAGCCCTTTCAAAGGTTTACGGGCGCATCCACAAACTCGCCAACAGCAGTTGGCTTGCGGCGGAGCACGATGTTCGCCAAGCTGCAATTCTGAAGGCCCTCCGCTCAAAATGGACCAACCCCCTCCTCCTCAAGGACGGGGGCGCCGGTGCGCAGCGGCAAACCTGCACTGGCACCGTGCCACGTCCAAAGACCAGACAAAAATAGAGCCATCCAAAGCCATCTCCAACATCGGATAACTCTAGCATGCCCGGAAAACTGGCCCAAGGCTGTTTGGTGCAAGTAGGGAGACTGAGCGTCCTTCAGTGCCCTTTCCGACTTGAAAAACGCCGACTTCTTCCAACCAGCCACCAGCCAGCCCTTCCGCGGTGCGAGGCCAAGCTTTTCAACGCCCTGGGTGCAAGTGCACGGTTTCAACTGGGCGCGGAAGCTTAGCAACCTGACGCCGCCTGGGAAAATCGAGAGGACTCCGAGCCTTGCACTAGGCCAATGCCTTTTGGCACATCTGAGACGCTCGCAACAAGGTCTCACCGAACTTCTCCGCGCCTTTGTGGCGTGGGCTTGGAGTCCAGAGGGCAAAAGGGCGAATTACGCGCAAGAGAGGGGGAAAACGGACGTCACATGACATCCCGCCCGCCATTCCGTCGCCTGTAAAAACGGGCAGGGGGCTAAAAGGTTCATACGAACCACGGGCCGCGGCCCCAAAAATTCACGGGCATATGGTGCACAAAGTGCCAAATCAAAATGCCGGGCCAGCAATCCTTGCACTCCTCGGTTGCGAAATCTGCTCCCCTGCTAAAAGTTAAACTTTTAGTGGTTTAATACGGAAAACCCATTAGTTGGCAAACGGTTCAAGCATCCCTGGGCAAAACTTGTTTAATACGGAAAAAACCCATTGGTTGGATCAAAAAGCTATTCAGTCCCAACATCCCTGGGCAAAAATGCACCAAAGTCCAATTCCCGCATTCTGAAGGAAGAATTGGATCCCCAATTCATTAGTTCCCGAAAGCTGAAGGAAGAATTGGATCCTAACATCCTTACAGCCCTGAAGGAAAGCTGAAGGAATTCATGAGTGGAAACATGAGTTGCGAAATCACTCCTCAGTTGCGAAATCTGCTCCCCTGCTAAAAGTTTCAATTTTTTTTGGGGTTTCATACCGAAAACCCATTGGTTGGGTCAAAAAGCTATTCACTGCGCCAAAGACTCGTTCACCTTGCTGGACTCGATGATCTCCTTCTGAATGGCCGCGGGCATCCACCAATTCACCATGTACCTTCGACTTAGAACTCCGCACGCCGCAAAAAGCGTTTGTTTTTTGGTTTCTGGGCTGTTTTTTTTTTGGGGAAGACCATTTTAGTGGGGCAGCCACCAAGAAAAAAAGAGGGAAAAAGGGAGCCACTGAACAACTGAGAAAAAGCGTTTTTTTCTTCTTCCCCTTTTGTTGGTTGGTTGAAAGGCAAATCTGGGAAACCATTTCCTTCTGCTGGTTGAAAGGTAAAATGACGGAAGCCATTTCCCTTTGTTGGTTGAAAGGTAAAAGGACGGAAACCAACAAATGCAAACGTGTTGTTGAAAATGGCGAGCTTAGTGTGTCCTTTTCCTGTTTTCTTGAGGGTCTTGGTCTCCCCCTGTTCAGCCACAAAACTGGGCTGCCCTCAGATCCCCGGCTAAAAGTTTAACATACTACTTTCAGTGGGTAAAAAAAAACAAAAACACTAATCACCAAAAGGCGAAAAAAGCTCAGGAACCGGATATGGCTGGGGGCCCCCCAAAAAAAAATGGGATTGGGGTTTTTCAGGTCCCGCCCCTTTTCCGCTTTTTTCCCAGTTCCTTCAGGTCCCCCAAGTCCGTCCCAGGTCCGCCGTCCCCCTGCCCTCTCCCCGCCGCGCGGCCCCGAGCCCTTGTTCTCGTTGGCGGCCATGACGAAGCAGGCGTCGTGGGGCCCCAGGCTGGTGGCGAACATCCCCGCACCCCAGGGCCACCAGGTGGGCAGCAGCTTCTGGTTGTTCGCCGCCAGCTTCATCACGTTCAGGCACGCGTGGTACGCCTAGCTTTAAAGAAACCGATGGTTGGTTTCCCCCCCCCCCCCCCGTTTTTGGTTCTTTTCTCTTCTTTTTTCTCGGAAAGAGAAAGCGGGCACTGGTCAGCCCAAAAAAGCCGAAAGAAAGCGATGGGTTTTTCTTAGGTTCTTTTCCAGAAAGAGAAAGCGGGCACTGGTCGGCCCAGAGCTGAGGATTTGAAAAAAACAAGTTCTTTTTTCCCAGAAAGCAGCCACTGGTCGACCTTCCCAATCGTGGGAGTTGATGATCATCGTTGGAGGTATGAGGAGATCTGAATGCAAAGAAATAAATGCATGTAAATACGCCAAACGCCTCAAAAATTCAGACCTCAGAATGTGATCGAGACGCGCTTTTGGGTCCGGTTCATTTCCCTTGCCAAGGGCCCTTGGCAAAGCCATACTCTGTGTAGGGGCCCCCTGTAAAGCACGCATACTCACAACCTCAGCTCTCTCCCCCAGAAAAAAATCCCTCCCCAACACAGGACATGTATTCTGGATTCGGGGCCATGTTTAGTGGACCTTGCACACCCCCACAATCCAGAGTTTTGGGGTTGATTCAAAGGGACACAAAAAACGACACACCCCTTGAAGCCTTGCCATGGGGTGCCAACTCAAAGAAATCACATCCCCATGTGGGGAGCTTCCGTTGATATGGGGAGGTCGGCGGACTGCTCAAAAACTCGGCCGACTCAGCGACTCCCCCCCCAAAACAACAAGAACGAGAAACACAAAACAAAAAGGTGAAAAAAACATGAGAAAAAAAAGAGAAAACAAAAAACGAAGACGTATTCTTGGTGACCCATCTACCTCGTTGACAACCGGTTTTTTGGGGGGGACACGCACGCCGGTTCGCCTGCTCCTCCCCCGGGTAGGAGATCTTCGGCACGGGGGGCATCTCCCAGGCCCCAGGCTCGCCGATGCACCCGTAGTTGCAGTCCCCGACCTCCAGCCGACGTGTCGCTCGTGTTTCGTTCTCGGGGCGGGCTTTCCCCCGCGTTTTTATGGTTGCTCTTCTAGGTCCCCCTGTCAGCTTTTTAACCAAGAAAAGAAAACAAACGGAATCGCCATAGGTGGCTTTTTTGGAAAAATGAGGGGTGTCCCTGGTAAATGAAAAAAAACATCTAAGCCAGGAATCGCCCTCTACTTTTGTAAGCAAGCCCACCAAAAAGGACACCAATGTGCGTGGCTCGCCTTCGTTTTGTCTGGGGCTTTCCCGCGTTTAGGGTTGCTCTTGAAGGGAAGCAAACGGGAAATCCGCAGCCTGTTCTCCTTTTTTTTGGGGGGGATCTGTGGTTTGTGGATTTAAAGGGAAACGAAGAGGACATCCACAATTACCAGTATTTGTTTGGGGTGGAGTGGGGCCCCTATTTTGAGTTCAGACACTGATGTTGAGAAACCTTCCTGGGTGTGGCGCTTTTTGAGCTCTTGTCAACTTCCCTCCAATTAGTGGTTGGGAGCCCAGCGTTTTGGCGTGTAGGAGGAGGGTCCCTTTTATCCTCAAAAACAGGGGGTTCAAATCCCCACCACCAATCCAAACCACCAATTACTTGAGGGATGCCCTACTTTTGGGGGTTGGATTGAAGAGAGCACGGAAAGCCGCAAGTTTTGGGGTCCCATGTTTACGGCCGTGGGCCATGATCCATACATGCATGGTGCTCCTTCGGTTCTTTTCCGTGGCAACCAAAAGGAACACCGAAGCCAGCCCAAGCCATGTTGATTGATGCTGGGAATTCCGATTCCTGAAAAAAAACACCCACCTGAGCTGCACAAGATGAGCTACCCGCCCAAACCTGGCTTGGTGCACGGAAACTTAATTTCAAGACCCCCTTTACAAGAGAGAAGTGCAAGGTGGAAGCGAACCCACCAGTGCAGCAGTTCGCAAAAATTCGGCGGGTAGGAGAGAACCGTCAGAGCTGCGTGAGCGCCTCTCGCGAAAACCCACCCAAATAAATAGCGAGGAAGTCGCGTTGATGTCGTGGGTTCTAGATTTCAAATCGGAAAGGCGTCTTACAACACAAGTCATTCGATGGCTTTGCTCAGTGACCCGGGGCAGAAGCGAACCCGTGGAGTTGACATGGGTTGACCATGTTTATTGGCACATTGCACCTGAAAAAGGAACACATGGCAAACCTGGCCAACAAGAAGGGAACAACAAATGCCCTTGAAAAGTGCGTGTGTGGGCTTCTTGAGGGCACCCTTTTTTCGGGGGTGGGGGGTCCTTTCCGGGCATGTGTCAAACTAGGAGGACCCCTGCTTACTTCTTAAACAGTGAGTCTCCTCTTGTCTCCCCCAACAAAATCAGAAAAGGAATAAAAGGCCACCCACCCACCCACCCACCCACGCCCGCGCCCGCACCCGCACCCGCACCCGCACCCGCACCCGCACCCGCACCCGCACCCGCACCCGCACCCGCACCCGCACCCGCACCCGCACCCGCACCCGCACCCGCACCCGCACCCGCACCCGCACCCGCACCCACACCCACACCCACACCCACACCCACACCCACACCCACACCCACACCCACACCCACACCCACACACACACACACACACACACACACACCGCGCGCGCGCCACTGGCCCAAGCCCTGCCAAGGCGCCGCGAAGATGGTGCCGTCCGCCCAGACGCCTCCTCCTTCAGAAGGCTTCTTGGTGACCTGCAGGGAGACGCTCTGAGCGGCCCACCTGGACCTCAAACTGGACCCGAGGCTTGCATGCCCAGTTCGGACCCAGAAATGAATGGCCGGGCAAAGCTTTAAAACCAAAAGGTCATTTCAGATCGGTTCGCTTTGCGATTTGATTGGGTTGCACCTTGCGGCCCTGAAACTAGGTCCTCCAGTAGAGAGGTTCGAAGAAGGGTACCCGATTTTTTTCTGCTGTCGATTTTAGAAGGGGAATCCTCCCAACCAAAAAAGAAACGGCAAAAGTTGGCACCTAGCTGGGGGGCCTAGGAAAGAAAGCCCATGCCTGGCCTGCAAGTACTTGTTGAAGTGAATCCAGCCGCCTCCGCCTGGGCCCTTGTCAGACCTCGGTCGCTTTTCGCTTCTCGCCGCTGAAAAAACCAGACGCCAAGCCAAGGGTTTGGGGTTCAAAAAGGCGGCGACGCCCGAAGCGCAACTGGGCTGCCCGTTTTCTGATCCCCCACTAAAGGTTTGACTTTTAGTGGGTGAAATGAAAACTACCACTAAACACTAAAAGGCTAAAAAGCTAAGGAACCGGATGGCTGGGAGCCACCAAGGTAAGTGGAACACACCAGCCCGCGCAAGCAGGAAGCAACATGTTTCTGCACATCTGAAAAGAAGGCAAAAGCGCACGCCATGACAGCAGGGGCTTGACAGGCGCAAACTGAGAGACGCTCAGGTTTAAAACATCGAGGGAAATCCCCACGTCGAGCTTGTTTCCTTCGTCTGGGGAGATTGGGAGATTCCGTCTATTCCATGGAGTAAAGATTGACACGGCGGTTGTTCAAAAGGTCCGTGATACCTGGGACGACCAGTAGGAAAACCACCAAAAATTTAAGGATTTGCCTTTCACTAGATGTGAAAAGTTGCCCATTTCAGGCAACCCGTGGTTTGGATTGGTTTGGGTATTTGACCCCCCCCCAGTCCTTGTAGAGGGTAAAAGGAAGCACCACCTGAACCACTATACCACCCATGCAGGAAAAAAAACTAGAGGGATGCTCATCCTGCTGGTCGTACGGGCGCACGGGATTTTCATCACCAAGAACGACGACCGCCCGGGAACCTTTATGGGAACATTGATCTACAAAAAAACTGATCATATGATGGTCATGTCGGGGGCCGGTCTTTTGATCACCCCCCCCCCAAAAGAAGAAGGAAAAAAACCGCCGAGGCGCAGGGTGCACTTGGGCATGAAGTAGTTGGACGCCTTCACCCCGATGCAGACGTAGGTCTCATCCGCCCCTTTCGGCAGCTCGATGGACTTCCAGAAGTCCGGGCTCTTGGGGTCGTACTTGCACCCGTAGAACCTCGAGGCTGCGCAGGTTTTCCATCGCATCCCCCGGGTTTATTTAGAAACAAAAACAACCAATCCCCCGGTTTATTCATATAGGGAGGTGTTTTTTGGGTTTGGTGGGGAATTGATCCCCCGGTTTATTAGGGAGCAAACCCCCTGGGTTTGCTCAGATCCCCTGGTTTATTGGGGAGGTGTTTCTGGGTGTGGTGGGGAATCATCACTTTTGGAAGGGAGCACTCCCCTATTCATAAACTGGGCTGCCCGCAGATCTAGTCTGCGAAAAGTGACGAAAACTTCTAGTGGGTTGAATGGAAACCCACCCACTATACACTAAAAGGCTCAAAAGCTAAGGGGATGACAAGTTGAACTTTCTAGTGGGCTGACTGGAAACCCAACCACTAAACCCACGGCTAAAAAGCTAAGGAACCGGATGGCTGGGAGCCGCCATGTCAAGTTACCAGTTTGATGCCGAAGGGATCGGATCGGAAAGTGGCGGGGAGCTCGGGCCGGGTGATCTTTATTGTGGGAAAATGGGCATGGAAGGGGCAAAACGCCAATTAAGTTCATCTCTACTCTTGGTATGGTAGCAAAAAACTTTGTTTCTTGCAGACCCCCCAGTAAAAATGAACAGAACCAAAAAACTAAAAACTAAAAACCATGCCAAGAACAGTGAAGAGTTGTTTTGGAGGGGAAGTGGATGAAAAGAAAGAACACAACCATGGTGCAAAGGCTCAGGGACCTGAGCCCCTGAGCCTTCGGCTCCTGGGGAGCGATCTTCTCGCTTCGCGATCCATCGATTCAACGCACGATGGATCGCGAGCCCCGGACACCAATGAAAACAAAGAAAGCTTCGAACAGGCGTTTTTGCTAAGGGTCCCTGCCCACTGAATCGTTCTTGTCGCTCGCAGGCAGGTCCTACTTGGCACTTTGAATCATTTCGCGAGGCCGCCCCCCTCTGACGTACCGGGATTCCCAGTTTGCGCCGCCTTCGGAGTGCCGATGTGTTTGGCGGAGCCACAAAAGGCCGGGGAGCTGCACTTGTGTTGAGGAACCCTGGATACTGTGGATGGACGAAATCCATTTCGCACCACTTAGAAACCATGGTTGAAACCATTGTTCATTGGTATTTGCAGGGGATTCATTCCGGGGTTTCTTAGGTGGTGCGAAATGGATTTCGTCCATCCACAGTAGGAGAAACCAACGCCCGCCATTTCGAAAGGTCCCTAGTGAGACAAACCCCCAAACAGGATACCACTGGGATCCGTTCCCAGCAGGGGTCCCAAACGAGTGAACATGTCGAAAGGCAGCCGTGATGTGTCAAACTTGTCTTCGGATGTCGGATGGTAGCAGGTGGCGGCGGCAGGCCTGCATTGTATCAATAAACTGGGTTGGCCACAGACCATTGGCGAAAAATATTAAGGCAATTGAGGCCCAACACCCGCCCAGCCCCCGCTCGCTGGCAAGGCGGCATTCCCTTTTCAGCGGCTGCAGACAGGGTAAGTCGGCAAGCGCTGACATCTGGCACGAAGCCAAAACCAATGCTGAGTCAACAGTCAACGTGTGCCTTAGCAAGTTCCTAGCTGCGCTCTTGCTTCATGTTTTCACGCTGAAGATCCGGCGGCAGGCAATGCCTGCAAGTGCTTGTTCTCAACTTCGCAAACACGGTGAAGGCTCCGTGTTTGCATGAAGAAATCCCAGAGCACATCCTTGGCTGAGGTGCTGGCAGGCCCTTTCAGCTGCACAACCTTGGCCTTTGCCTGCCCCTTGGCCTTTGCTTTGGCCTTTGGCCGTCCCCTGGCATCGGCAGTCTGCTCGGCAGACTGGACCGTGGTCCATTGACCCCTGGACCACCACGCTAGAGGCTTGAAAAAAAGTCACAAACCCCGTTTGCATCGAATTGGGCGACGATCGCCAGTCTATCTGAAAAGACGGGCAATTCTTCTGCGCGGAAGTCACGCGTGTTGTTGAACGCGGCGGCTCCTGCGCGTCCAAATCCTAAATGCATGCATAGAAGATCCAAAACAACTGCGTCGTCCCTGCGCAGCTGCCCGTCTGCGCGGGCACGGCGACGACGAGTGCGCCGTTGCGGCGCAGCTGCCCGCGTGCGCGGGCACGGCGACGACGCGCGCGCCGTTGCGGCGCAGCTGCCCGCGTGCGCGGGCACGGCGACGACGACTGTGCCGTCGCCGCGTAGCTGGCGCTGCCGCGGCGACGACATGGAAAGGTGGGACCCGCCGGAAGACACCACAAGGCCGTCCAGTAGAGTGTGCACGACTTGGGCGTTTACGCAATGAAGCAACACTGTATGTAGAACATTCCAGCGCCAGGAAAGCATATTAAAATCAAAAGCGAGACAAGACTGCGCGCACATCGCGTTCAGCTGGGCGTGGTGGACGTGCAGATTGCCGGCGCGCAAGCGGTGAGAGGCGTATTGAAAGCAAACACGGCTTTGTCAAACCAGCAGCAGCAGCATTGGCTCACTGCGCGTTGACCACGTGTGGAATGTCGACATGACATTTCTTCGTGTCTAGCTGCCCCAACAGTGTGACAGTGAATAGCAAGCCTGCGTTTCGCAGACTGCGCGCGAAAAAGCTGCGTCGGACGTCGCATTCGCACGCACGTCAGCACGTTGGTTTCTGTTACATATCTGAGCAACGCATGAAACTCAATTGACGTCAACGCGCAGCGCGCTAGCCAAACGAGCCAGCCTCTTGTGTGCATCACGTTGTCAAGAGCTGCGCAATCAGACCATAAGAACAGCGCGGCGCGCGTGCTCCACGACGCGCTCCAGTGGCTGGGTGAGAATCTCTATACAATGAAGACGATATGGCGCTCGTATGCAATGACTGCGCCGACAAAGCTGCGACCATGCGCGTTACGAGCGCCATTTGAGGCACAAGTGTTGCGGCCTGTGTGCGCCGTGACGTCGCCGAGGGCTGGCCTGCGATCCACACAGGCCACGGCTGCCTGGTGTATACACGCTGCGCCTCTTGCGGGTGCTGTTCTACAAGCACTATTTTATGAAACTCCATGGAGACGCAGTTTGTGTTGGAGCGCTGCTGTTCGGGCTATGATCGCTGCAGGCCACGACTAGGGCGCGACGCCTCGTTGTGTGGACGCCGTGCGTTATAGAGCGCTGCACTACGAGCGCTTTTCATACACGAAGGAACAACTTGTAGCGTGAAGCTCGCCCTGAATTGAGCTGTGGGCGGGGGAAGTCAATAGCCCCTCAAAGACCGAAACTGTAGTATACTGGCAGAAGCATTGGACATCTACGCAACAGTTGCAAGAACGACAGCATAGAACATATAAAAGCGCATGCTCGTGAAGGCCGATGCGAAGGCAGGCTTTACAATTTACAACTTACCAAAGCAGGCATGTGCAATCATGGGCCGACAACGTGTTGGTCAGGGCCCCAGTCAGGGCTTGGCTGACCAGTCGAGGCACAAAAACGCTTTGTCTTGCAGGCTGGGGGCCATGTACGACTCGACACTTGGGCCAACGAGCTACCACCCAGAAAAGGCGGCCTGATATGAGAAGTGCAAGCTCGCGGACACGCAAACATGGGCCAACCGTCAACGAGTCGAGAGCCAAAGTGTAGAGGAAAACAGCTGCTAAACACAGCTCGGAGACACGAGGCGACTTCAATTTCGCTTTTGGAAAAGAGCAACAAACACTGCCTCTGATTGTCTCCGCCGACTATACTCTCTATGTGCGTCACGGGCGCCGTCCCGACGCAGCGCCTACGAGGCGACTTCAATTTGGCCTTTGGAAAAGAGCAACACCTCTGATTGTCTCAGCTGACTTTTTCTCTCTATGTGCGGCACGAGCGCCGCCCCGACGCAGCGCCTTTGAGTATGTTGCTCGTGATTTCGTCGAGCTACACGCCACACCCGTTTTGCGCGCACGCGCTGTTTTCACACGCGGCTTTTGTGGCCTGCGTGCGCCGATCGCTACAGGTCACCACCGCTTCGTGCTTCGCATCACGAGCGCTATATTCTACGAACGCCATGGAGACGCAGCTGCTGCAGCGTCGTGGCGCCAATGTCTGGGCTAGATCGCTGCAGGTCAGGGCTGTCTGGCGGCGTTCATAGAATAGCGCTCGTCGTGAGCAGAGTCGTTTCTGTTGCGTGTGACACGTTGCGCGTGACGAGCGCGAGTCCACGAAACGCTATTCTCAGACGGGCTGCTGCGGCTTGTGTGCGCGGTGACAGCGCCGACTTTTGGTCTGCGATCGCTACAGGTCATCACTGCTTCGTGCTTCGCATCACGAGCGCTGCTCTACGAACGCCATGGAGACACGTCGGCGCGCCTCCAGTGGCGCCGATGTCTGTGCTAGATCGCTGCAGGTCAGGGCTGTCTTAGGTACAGAAGCTCCGCACTACAAGCGCTATTCTATGAGTGCCCAGCAGGGTCATGTCTGTTGCGTGTGACACGCTGCACTCAGACGCGGCTGCTGCGGCTTGCGTGCGCCGTGACAGCGCCGACTCTTGGTCTACGGTCGCTACAGGTCACAACTGTTTCGTCACACCACTACGCTATATACTCTTCAAGCGCCATGAGTCGCAGCTGCTGCGGCGCGGCGCTTCCAGTGGCGCAGATGTCTGGACTCGGATTGATGTCTGAGCTAGGATCGCTACACATCAAGATTGTCTTAGGCGTAGAATCTATGCGCACATGCTGCGCATTACGAGCGCTCGTCCACGAGCGCTACTCAAGTGCGGCTGCTGCAGCTTGTGTGCGCCGTGACGGCGGCGACGCTTGGGGCACGATAGATTGCAACTCGTGCGCGAACTCTGCGTGTGCTCGGCTAGCGCCGTGACGGCGCAGTGGTCTTGCCAGTGTCAGCGCATCAGCTCAATGGTTATGGAGCACTCAAATCACCGGGGCGTTCGTGTCGGGGCTGTCAAAGGCAGACGGGCGAGGGGCCATAGAAGCGCGACGCCTCGTTGCAATAAGGGCCCTGGCCACTAGGCTGCAAACCCTACCCTTGAGCGCTGTGACCACTGACCA